TTTTAGGCGTAAGTGCTTGTGGTTTGGTTTGACAGTAAATGGCCTACAAAAACCAGACTCTTCTTTCCAAGAATAGAATTAATTTGACCCTGTGTATGATAGTAAAACATATTTAAGTGCTTCCGTTCTTTGCATTGATTAATTTGTTTTATGTACTCTAAACAAATTTTATTTAGTCTGTTATAATAAAATGCTTTTTGAAAAGAGCATTGCGATGCTTTTATATTTAATACTTAATTTTCTACTCCTTTAAGTTCTAAGTCCTGAAATTACTAGTTTATTGCTGATGGAAACAAGAAGGCTGATGCCAGCCTTTCCAGTCAGAGATGTTCCCACCTGCCAGTCTCACCAGTGAGAGGCTCAGTTGCTGCGCTATGCCTGAGACCTGGAGCTGCCCGTCCTGTCTGCACACTGCAGGGGCTCGGTACTGGCATTGTCAGAGCCCTTCTCCACCCTCCCTGGGCAGGGACCACCTTGCATCCCAGCACTGAGATGAACATTCCAGGATGGCTGCTCCATTTGTGTCGTGGGAAAATTCCCACAGCACAGCCTGATTCCCTGGGGTATTTCATGGCCTCAAAGTGAGTTGTGTCTCTTCCTTTGCAACGTACCAGTGCTTGGCAGTTTTTGGTTGCAGCAATCTATATTGCTTCTTCTAAATCTGTTACTGGGGTAGGCTAGGCAACTGTGGCAGCTGGCTTATCACATCGATATCAGTGTGATATAGCTGCTTGAAATTTAAAAAGCAAACAATTATTGTAGTTTGGTTTGCAAATGTGAATTTTTCATTACTGGTTCTTTTGAATTTTTCTTTCTTTAGTACAGCTCCAAAAGAGTACATATTTTGTTTCCCAAAGGAATGTGCTTGTTTAAAATGTGAACGATAATGTTTGGATAATTACTACCAGATTGGACAATGTTAGCTTATTTGGACACACGTACTCAAAACCCGTTTTCTGCCGTGATTTGCTTTTTTTATATTGAGTAACTGTTGAAGGACTTGCGGCTTTAAGATGGAGGAAAAACTTAAAAAAGGTGATTAGGACTTTTTGACCAGGCACAGCCTATCTGTGCCTCTCAAAGCCTTGATCTGCAGGTGTAGAGCATGGGGCTTGCACACCAATATCACCCCACCTGGCCAGGAGCAGGAGTGTGCTGGGAAACCTGGAATGGTTAGTCTGGCTAGTTGCACATCCTCTCAAGGAAATACAAAGTTGCCAGTTTGCTGTAAAACTTCATGCTCTTGTATTTGTGGTCTGCAAAGTTGCTGTGGCATACTTGAGGAATGCCCAAGTATTCTAGCTTGAGAATGGCTCAGAACCTGATGTCTTGGAGGTAACTTGGGTCTGTCTTATGTGAAGATTTGATATAGGTGTGTAGCCACGAAGGCTGTTTGTTTGTGTGCTTGGTACAAATATCCCTCTTGCTCATTCTGGAATGTGGACTTTTGTAGAGCTTCCTGCTTTCAAAGTAGAGCAATTGAAACTGTTCAGACAGTGATACGTCCTCACCCTTGTTTGTATCTAAAATGACCCTAGGCTGGTCTGTTTAAATCTCAAGCTGTAGCAAAAACAGCTAGTTGCCAGGAAAAATACTCTTAAGTCTGTAATTGGGCTGCATAACTGCCAACAAAACAAACCTGAATTACAAACTTCTTAATTTATTCCATTCCTGACTTGGTAGTTTTTGTCAGCTTGAAGCGGCTGTGTTCTTTAACCTTCTACCTTGGGCCTTCCCAAGTGTCTTTGCTGTGGGGCATATGTCTACCTGAACTTGTCAAATTTTCAAAATTTGAAGGATTTTTTAACTGGCTAATTTTCCTCAGAACAAGAAACGTCCAGGTCTCCCTCATTATGCTGAGAACTTTTTGTAGCATTCAATGGCAGAGGTGCACTGCTCTAATATTGCCTGTATCAAATGTTTTATCCCTAAAGTCTGTTCTTGTTCTTTCCTGTAGCTTCTGTGTTTATGGAAGGGGGGGAGTTTTGGTTAAAGTGCAACCTGAAATAGATTCTTTGTAAAAAAGAAAAAAATAGGTACCAAGTAATCTACCTGATCCTCACATAATTCATAAATTGTACCAGAAGAAACTGTAAAGGGGTATGAAGATCCTTCATGAGTCTCTGACAACTAAATGAGGATGATCCTTATTGCTGGATTTATCTGGATAACAATGCCAAAATTGCTTGATCCTCTATGCTCCAACTTGGTTCTGGTATTGATTTTTCAACTAGAATCATGCTAAGCATAAGCTGGAAGGTTGCTGGATATTCCAGCCCAAAGCATATGCATACCTTAAATTAGATACTGAAGATAGGTCCTTACTAGATTATTCTAGTGCTTTTGGTATTTTACTGCATTTAGATTTCAGATTTTGGGAACTTTAAAGTTTTCTTGGGGAAACCCCCCTACCTGCAGCTTCAATTCTCTCAGAACTTAGATAAAATATACGAAGTTAACTGCTAGTCAGTCTGACTACCTTAGATGGCTGCTTATCCGTATGAGCAACTTGGTCTTCTCATTTCAGGCTGGCAGGTTTTTTCTGAAGGTATTCAAGAGCAGGAGGTGAGGATACAAATCCATCTGGATTTTTTGGATTTGTTAAACTATGAATGGGCAAGATGAATTGAGGCACCACCAGTAAAAAGCAACAGGGCTTAGGAGCAGCAAGAAACATGAAAAAGATTACTAAGGCAGTGTTATTTGATTTTGGTTTGGATTTTTAGTCTTAGCCTCTCGTTAGTCCTTAGTATATGCTGATCGTACATACCCTTTTCACATCAAATTTCTTTAACTGAAAGCAAATACAAAATGTGTAGATGGCGAAGAAGCCCATTTGGGAACACAAATGGGCTGGAAAAAAGCAGGTTGTGTCCCAAGGATGCAACTCAAATAACTCACTGTAGCATTCCCATTTTCACCATCAGATGCTGTGTCCATAGTGGGAGCACTGGTGTTGAACAGGAGTGAGATGACTCATCTCTCCCTTCTGAGCAGAGAAGCGGGGAAGATCAGGGCATGTCCTTTCAATAACTGAGCTCTCTGCTCTCCTGAGAATTTACTGTGGAGGTGAGGCGTGGTTTTCAATCTTAGCCCACTGACACTGTAAAAAGCCTCTAAATGCTTAATATAAAAAAGCAACACAGCTGCTTAATAGACCTATCAAAGTGTAGTGTCCAAAGAATTGTTAAGACTGCTTAAATTGAGTGATTAAAGGGGAATCTTTCTCATACAAGGTCAAAAATACAAATATTTCTGGTAAAGGGCTGGCAGTTTCTTCTAACCAGCCTTTACAGCTGCATAATAATTTCCTAAAACTTGCAAATGAGTGCATAGCATAAAAATTACTCATTTTGATTAGTCTTGTGTCAGACCTTAATACCTGACTGGGCTTTGGGTGCTTATTCTTTCTAGTTTCTCTCAAGAATGGTGTATTTTACTGCTTTATTTGTTCTGCAGACGTGCAGTGACTATTCCCTGCCTCCAGGACAGGATGCTCTTAAGATGTAAACCTGTGGTTAGGCTGCAGTGAGAGTGACCGAGGGCAGAGGGGGAGTTTGCTGTAAAGGTGAGGTTCTCCCTGGGGAGAACCAGCTGTAGGTGTGGCTCGACCAGTCTACAAATTCATCTATTGTGCTCAGTTGTGGCCAAGTCTGTGGATTGCAGGGTGAGTTTCAAGCTGTTTCTGCGCCGGGGCTATTTAACCTAAGCCTGGGCATTGGCAGCAGCAAAGCTGCTGTATCTGTGGCTCTCCCATTCAGTTTAGGCCTCCCGTGGCTTATTTTTGCATCAACAAATTAAGTGTGAAGCAGCGTACAGCAAGCTCGAAACAGCTAAAAATAAGCTCGCTTGTCTGCAGAGAAGGGCAGTGTTCCCTCGGTGATCCCGGCTGCCGTCGGAGCAAGTGGAGATCGATCGATCTAATGTCTGGGCTCGCCTTTCATAAAAGAAGGGCTGTGGCTTTAAGTAATCGCTGGCTGCTTGTGCCAATTGCAGAAGCTGCAGTATCTGCCGCTGTCGGGAGCGCTGGGCGCGGACGCAGGATAACCTGCGGAGGCAAGGTCCAGCCTTGACGCTCGGCCCTGGCCAGACCTGCCCGGCTCGGTGGTGCCGCCGCCACCCGCCCGTCGCCGATGAGGGCCGGGGGGCCGAGCGGGGGGCTGCCGGCGCTGGAAGATGGGCTGCTCTAGCAGCAAGCTGTGCCTCTATTCTCAGTGTGCTGCAGCAAGGGTAATGAGTGCTTGTTTCGCAGGGAGCCGGCCGGGAGCGCGGACCTTGTCACCTCCGCCGTGGCGTGAGGCGGTGCCCGCCGGGCCGGGGGCTCTGCCCCGGCTGTGCTGCGCCGCCGCCCGCTGCGGCTCCGGGCACCGCGGCCTGGCCGCCTCCTCCTGGCCAGGGCACTGCTCCTGGGGAAAGCAGGGAGATGGGTGCTTCTGCTTTGTTGCGATCTGTTCACACGTGCCTTGTGATTCTCTCCGTATAAGAAACACCATCTATCTTAACATTAGGATCTGCGAGCGGCGGGGTGGGTTGTATTCAACTTTGAACAGGGCTGTGCCTTTTCTTCATGGAAGACTAAGCATTTAGCAAAGTTGATGGTTTTCTGTTTGAGTAAGCTTAAGATAAATATTTAATGCATGCTTCTTTCACATATACACTATTCTTCTGTGCACTTGACATCTACCACTTGATTTGTTCTGGAGGCTTATGTTGCTACACCCACCATAAAATATATAATTAATTGCTGCAAAGTAGGATTTTAATTGCAGAGCTGTCCTGGAAAAAGCTGTTCTTTGTTTTAGAGTATAACTTCCTTAACAACAGAAGAACATCTGTGTATATTGTAACAGCTGAACTGTTATCCTAAATGAGTCATATCTTGGCTTCTTGCTCCTGCCTCTTGTTTTTCCTACAGAGCACATGGAAGTTAATTATTGGAGGGTGCCCTGCTCAGACCACTAGTAACCAAACATTTGGGTTTTTTGTTCTTTTCTCTGCAGAGGGAGGAAGCACTGAAGCAGCGGAAAGAGTTATCTCAAGAACTACTTAACCTTCGAGGAGAACTAGGTAAGAATTTATTTGTGCATTCATCATGAGAACAGAAATGCAGCAAAGCAGATCTGCAGAAGACAGATGCCCTGGTATTGTAATGGCAGTCATTTAATTCCCTGACTGAATTCCGCTCAGATGCTTTAAGTGCTGCAGAGCCCTGACAGCGTGACCCCAGGTTTACCGAATTCCTGGCACTGATCTGACTGTGCCTTGCGGGGCCTCCTTACAAAACATGTGTCTGATGACCAAAGCACTCACTTCTAAAAAATGGGAGGATGGCTGACAGCATACATACTTCTGCTTGATCCCTAACTCATTTGTATGCTGTCTTCTAGAGATTTGCTAGCAAAAAAATCATAAACCTGTAAAACATACTGTGCAAAATCTGCATTTTTGCCTTAGTGACCTGTGAGTGAATGAGTGTAAAATTAACAGAAGGAAATGCTTTCAGGCTGATGAGATGAAATCTTTGAACTCATCCTAGTGGATGGCTATAACATGAAATTGAGCTATTATGTGCAGGGGCTGGTTTTGCCAACTTTGAAGCTTGATTTAACTGCAGTTAGTGGTAGCTCCATGTAATGTATTTGAACTTAGCAGATGTTCCAGGCAGGTCTCAGTAGGGGCTGGCTTTGAAAGAGCCTGGCCTTCCCCTGCCCTTGCATCCCTCTGTCCTTGTGCCAGCATTGCTGCAGAGGCAGCCATGTCCCCACCAATGCAGTGAGCTGCTTGGGGACCTAAGCCAGCTGAAACTATTGGCTGGTAGTGCTGTTTTGCCAAAGCTGCCTGCCCTGACTTCAGTACATGACTGAAAGAATACTGGGACATGAGCAGAAAAAGAGGAAGGAGTAGCAGTGTGCAAGGGTGGTGTCCCCCATCAGCTGCAACTGATGTTTCTATTACCCTAAAGTGACAACAGGACTAGAGTTTTTATGTGGAAAAGGCCTTCTTGCATCACTTAAAAGTTGTGTTATAAACTTTATAAAACAGATTTCTTTTTATTTATGTACTTAATGTGATTCTCTGAGCAACCCCATTTGTTTCCCTCAAGGAAATGACTTCAGAAGGATTGCTATCAGAGCAAAAAAGTCTCTTTCCTTCTCTAGGTTTGCATCTTTAACATTATTTTTCCATTATCATCCTAGGTACTATGTTTATCACATATCTAGAAAGGGAAAATCCTGCTTAGATGGGTAGACCAAAAGCTGGCCAACACTTTTGCCCGTTACCACATTTGAGGGTTTTGGTGGGGTTTGGTTTTTTGTTTTTTTTTGAATGCTTAACTCTTTGTAAGGATGCCTCATGCTTAAATGAGCTTTCCATAAACTTGTTATCTTCCTGCTTCGATTAGCAGCCTGCTGAGCTCATAAATGAAACTCCCATTGCAAGCATGTGCCATTCAGTAGGTTGATAACTAGAAAAAAACTTCAAATGCGACTGTGTCTGATGGATGTGTGACACCTGAGTGCCCAGAGCTCTGAGACAGGGATGCTGGCTGCTATTGTCAGCTGTTCCCCTCACGGAGCTGACCTTCCTGAGTCAGTTCTGCAGGAGCATCTGAATGGCAGCCTGGGGCTCACTTCCCTTTGTAAGGTTTCCAGACCAGGGTTTCGTGAAGCATTTATCTTCGTGCAGCTCCTTTGTCTTAACCATGTCACAAGTCTAGCCTGTCTGTACTGCTCTCCTCAGCATGTAAAGGCAGTGGATTTAATTACAGAAGTGAAAAACTGCCCAGGTCTTCAATTCTATCTACCTTTAAAAAGAACTTGGTTTGGGTTTTTTTTGAAGTTAAGTTAATAATTTGTTGACAAGGTGTGAGAAAGGCATTCCTAAAACTGTAGCTTTAGCTGAAAATAATCTGCTTAAATACATACCTGCTAATCAGCTTTCTGTTGACACTGTTAAATTGATACAGTTGTACTTAAGATTTCCATAGACTGTTTTGACGTATGTACTGTGGATTTCCATTCAGTATGATCTAAGCATACCTTTGCTGGGAAAGTTAAGTGCAGTTTGAGTCTTATTTTGGCCATGTAGATGTTTTGTGGAGTCCCAGCTGCCATGTTTTTAATGACTGTTGATTTGCAGTTTGGGGACAGACAGTCTAAGAGGAATCAGGTGTGCACAGCCCAGTGGAGCCTGTTCCCTGCATGTTGCTGAGTTTGAGAGTATCCTGAAGCTTGTACAGTTTAGACATCTCAGTTTCTTACTTTGAAATTTATCTGTGCACGTTCTCAAGCTCCTTGATTTACCTTGCAAGACCAAATTGACTAGCTGTCAGATGGTCTGTTTTTTGCTGGATTATTGTGAATGACCATTTCTACCAAAATACCTTTTTGTTTAATGGTTTAAGTAGGCATTCCTGTCCCAGAATGTGACTGTGCCAGCCAGGGGGTGATGGTTACCAGATAATGCTTTCTACTCTCAGTAGCTGGAAACACAATCAAGGATTAGCAGTGATAGGTGTTTGGGGATGGGTCTTTTTCCAAAGGGAGTTCAAATTCAGTAACAGTTGGGTTCTGAACTTGGACTTCCTTAAAATCACCAGCTACAAACACTGAACTCTGTAGTTTGAGTGTAAGCACCATAGTTCTGGGAGCCTGGAGCAACCAGATGTCCTGCTTGTCAATGTTTATCTTCTTAAGTTGCAAGCTAGTGTGTAAACTTCTAGTTACTTGTTTAATTGTGTAAGTAGAAATTGCAAGGGCTGCATGTTTCTTGAGAGGTATGAAACTATTTCTCTGAATCAACTGCACTCCAAATTGTTTCAGATCCTCCTTGCAACCATGCTGGATGTGATCCAGCTGAGTCCTGCTACAAAATAGCAGGTGCAAAGTTGACTCAGCTGGCGCCAACCTTGGCCCTTTGAACATTTCCATTTGTAAAATGGCCTGGAGAGACCTGTGTGTACCCTGGACAGGCAGCCAAATGCCAAACCCCTCTCTCTCACCTCCAGCTGCTGCATGGCAATTGATAAACTGTATTTCCTTCAGAATACCTTCATGTTCTTTTTTTATTACTAAATGATCTTCAAGATGCTTTGGAAGTTCAGATAGAAGAGACCGCTGTCTTTTACAGTGAATGTGATTTGGTTTTCAGGTTAAGGTGATCATTAAAACTATTTAATAATAGGTAGATGCTTCTTTCACTTATTTGAGACAGGGCCTGACTTGCCACACTTCACTTGCCTGTTTGCCTGCTTGAACACTCTGTCACTTGTAGTGTTTGCAGCATAGGGGATGTGAATTTACTTCCCAGCAGAGAAGTGAGTGCTTCACGTTATTTATTCAATCATACCAGCTTAAATGTTGCTTAAAGCAGGCTTTTTTGGCTACCTGCCTTGTCTAACTTTCCCAAGAACAAAAATATGCAATGTGGTTTAATGTCCTGTATAATTAGTCTCATTATGGAACTAACACCAAGAGAAACCTAGTCATAAACTTGAAAGCATGTTTGGGTAGAAGAATTTTCAATATTGATAATCTGCCAATACCAAGAATTAATTACTATATAGATATAAAAATATGTGTTGCATAGAGAAGGAAATGAGCCTGTCTGTAGCAGACTTACTGGTCAGGTGAACATACAGCTTGCAGTGTGAAATACAAGATTGGAGCAATTAAGCATTAGTGCGGTGTAGTATCATGTAGTACCAAATACTTGGGCTTTTTTTGTAGTAATTATCCCCATTTCACATCCCCCACATCTATTAAAATCCTGACAGTTTACTGTCCTAGTGAACTCTGGTTTAGAATTTCAGACGGTCTAATGCCTTTTCATAAATCATAACTAGGCCAGTGAGTGACTTGGACAATTTTATGAAGATAACTACTGTTTGCAAACCATTTAATTCAGGGTTCCAAAAAATCCATTGTATTTCGTCTTAGAACTATGGTTATGGTAGCTTTTAGGGAAATGTAAGTTGAAAAATGTTTCATCTAAGCAGTTTAGCCATAAGGGCTGAATTTGGATGATGGTTTTATAATTAGAACAAGAAAAAAACAGTGAAAGGAGATGCAGCACAGTTTTAAGGTCTTATGTCTTGGCTATCACTTTTAGTGAAAATACAGAATATCTTTCTTGGAGATACAAAGGCAACTTTTGTAGTCCTCTCCTTCAGCTGCAGCCCCTGTTGCTGTGGTTTGGATGTGCTGCTGTTTGCACTATGCAGGGAGTTGCCATGTGCCTGATTCTCCATGCTGCTCTTGCATGCATTTGTTTTATGATTTTTGCACTTAAAAAGCTTTGTAGTGAAATACCCAAGATGCAAGTGGCTGATGTGAACTACTACAAATAAAGGGTAATTTTACATGTCAAAACCAGCATTTTTGCTGTGAAGATTTGCTGTTACCAAATCTCAGAAACTTCCAATGATTTCTAAAGGTTGTGGTTGAGCAAAATTCACAGACAAACAAATAGTGCATATTTTCATTTCTATGGCTTGATTTTTCCCTCCTGTTGGACCATTTGTTTCCTGTTGGGTTTCTTTTGCTCAAGGCTTGTTGCCTAAAGATGTGGAATCGTGGAGAAAAGCACTTCAAGAAGGGAAAGGAAACACAGAAGTAGTGTACAAAAACTCTGAAGTATGCACTTCAGGTATCTCTGAAGTTGACAGGAAGCTGAAATGGATTCGTGTGTTTGCTACTGGAAGAGCACATGTTCCAGTTACAAATTTTTCTTCAATGTTTTAGCATGAGTTCAGTGAGAATACTCTTCAGCTGAGCAGCAATCCAGTTTGGTTAGTCAGTGGCTAAATGAACAAATTAAGGAATTTGTGAGAAATCATGAAAAACGCACTTTCTTTAAAAAAAGCAGAGCTGTTGTAAAATACATGATTCAGTCTGCAGATGGATAGGGCTATGCAAAATACTTGCTGCACACATTTCAATCTCAAGTATTTAGACAAGCTTTGGTTTATGGGACATCTCGTAATTTCAAATTTACAGTTCTTTAGTTGATGTTTTTTGTGAAGTCAGGAAAAACCATGGTCAGTTTCTTACACCACCATGATACTGGGAACTCACTGGTTGTGTAGGAATTCTGCTTCTTGTTTGGATGGCAGGGATATAAGTCAGGCTTGTGATCTGCAAGGAGGTCTTGCAGCTTCCAGCTTTGTGGAAGCCAGAGTTACCTTTATGGTAACAGCTTTTAACTGCTAGTGCAATTTCAAAAGTTTTTTGTTTGCCTTTGTAACTTTAGTCCTCTCATAAATCTGAATTGCAAACTGCCTGAAGGGGAACTGATGCGTCTGTTTTCTTTGACAAAGGCGTGGTTTGCTATTTGCTTTTTTTCTGAAGTGCTTTGCATCATCTGAAGTTCTGCATGCTGACATTTAAAGATAAGGCAAGGATAGGCAGCACATTCTTCTGGCTAACTGGAGGCAAATGAATAGCTCTGGCCTTGCTAAAAAGGAATTTGATGCTTCTTCCTCTTGGTTTGAAATGAAGTGGATCATTTGAACCATTTTGCTACAGTTCCCTCAGCTGAGCCATGCAAGTCGCCTGCCTCTCAGCTATGCCCTTACTCTGCTGTGGAAGGTCAGCTCCATCTGCACGTGGTTAGCTGTGTAATACCTCCATTTGGCTTGCTGCCTGGTTCTTGCCATTGTAATATAATGTCCCCTAACAATGATGTTGCCTCTTCTCCAAAAATGTGGCAATGTAGAGTGTATATATAGTCAATAACTTCATGCTGCTGCGATGTAGTAGAAGTGTGAAAGCTAATTTTTTTTTCCTTTCCCTAAGAGAGCAGTTTTAAGAGAAGTTTGTGAAACTTCTAATAAAGATAGGGGAGCAAAAACGTCTTTTGGTGCTGCTGCAGAAAGTAGTAAAAACTGTGAAATCTGCTTGAGTTGCAGAGAATGTTGTGGTAGGTTTCAGCTGAGCCTCTGTTGCATCATTGCCAGTCAGAGAATGAAGAGCTTGGCCTAAATCTGTCCAGATCAGCACATCTTTTGCACAGACCCAACATAGCTAAGCTTGCTGTTAAGCCTAATTCAGGTAGACACACATGTAGATTGATTTCTATGCAGGACAGCTCGCTCTCTTAACACTTTCTTGTTCCTCTGCAGGTTCCAAGTGATGGTAGCAGGGCCAGGACTCTTTACAGTTCCCTTAAAAGAGAGTGCAAGTGTCATCCATCAAGTTACTCACATGCTTTTAATGAGCTATAGCAAAGAAGAGTAAGGCACGTGTAACTTGAGGCACTCTGCTGGGGCAGGCTGCTTTCCCTTCAGCTGACCCATTACTACTTTGGGAATCAGTCCCTGAGAATACTGTAATTTATTTATCTTAAGGCTCAAACACTGTTGTGATGAGAATTTCCTGTACTGCCTGTCCAAAATCCTTGCCTCTTCCCATGCTTTTACATAGAGTTTATATGTACACTGTTTGGGCAGTGTGCCAGTCTGCTGTGAAGTGCATGCATGCATGACTTCTCCTGCCTTTGAGGATCGAGTTAACATTTTAGTTGATTTTTCTCTTAAACAGCCACTCATCTGACTAATTTATTTAAACCAAAGCACTAGAGTCTGTATAGAACCGGTTTTGCACAAGGTCAGTGACCACACTGAGATGCTGTTTCACCTTGCTTCCAGGCTTTGGGTGCAGCTGGAACTGCACAAGGCGTTTGCTGCTGTCATATTAACAGTAGGAGGATGACTCCTCCTATTCAGGCCTGGCTGGCTGGACTTGGGAATGCTAAATTTCAAACTCAAAAATGCAAGTTGCTAACTTCTGTTCTGCCTTTCAAGCAGTTGCAGATATGGGGAGGCAAACCTAGGATGCCTTCTTAGCAGACCTGTGTTAATGCAGATGTAAAGAGAATTACACAACATTTCTGTTTTCTTAATACTCTGCACTTTTTGCCTAAAACCATTCTCTGTCTTGCATATTTAAATATCTCAGGCATAAACACATGAGAGTACCTTTCAGATTGGCAGATCTATATCAGGTCCATGTCTGGCTAGAATTGCTTCTTTGCTGTATATCTGAGTATGGGTGTCATTAAACATACAGTTTTGAGGAAATTAGGTATTTCAAATTTAGCTAAGTTGTTTATATGTCAAAAAGTGAAATACTCTGACAAATATTCTACTGAATGGGATCAAATAAGGTAAAGTAGCAAATGCAATTATTTTTTTTATTGGAGCTCTTCAGTGTCTCTCATGAGACATTCCTCCTTCCATATCATGTCAATCTGTCACACTTGTGCTTTTTATGTGGGCTCCTGGCCTAGCTGGGTTCAATTAATTCTCAGCCTAAGAAATATGGAATTTAATATTTTTGTCAAGATCTTTTCATGTGTCCTTGGAGGCACACATTTAATGGATAAATCATATTTGTCTTTGTATATAACCATGTTGCTGTGTAATGTGTTCACTGTTTTTAATACCTGTAAATGAAGATGTGACTTTTGTATTGAACTTGATCCAGTTCCTTTCTTTTTCTTTTCTTCTTTTCTTTTGACATCTTCAGTAACCACTTCTGCAGCTTGTGAGAAATTGGAAAGAGACAGGAATGAACTGCAAGTTGCTTATGAAGGGTATTTGCAGAAGTTAAACCAGAAGCATAATGATGACTTAGCTGAGGTGGAGGAGAAGCTTAAACAGTTTTACACTGCAGAATGTGAGAAACTCCGAAGTATCTGCATTGAGGAAGCTGAAAAGTACAAAGCCCAACTCCAGGAGCAGGTTTGTAACACTCAAAGTAGAAAAGTTCTCTAGCAACTGCTTTCTGCTACAAATGAGCCTTCAGAGAATCCTGGGTTTTGCTAATAACAGTTATTTAAAGTGAAATTCCACTTCATTGCAGCAATAAAAATACTACCACACTAAGCTGTACAGACCTTAATCTTATGTTTAAATGTGGTGGAGATTGGTTGTGTTCTGCCAGCTTAAGTTATTTCTAGAACTCCATGGGATATTTGAGTCAGCTTGAGTTTTAAGATTTCTAGAAACACACCTGCCCTCTGACCTTGCTTTGCCAACTCCATGTGTGTGAGAGATGCACATGTTTTCCTGTTGGTAGGTAAACTGTAAGGCATCATTCTCATTTCTTAAGTCTTGTACATGGCTTAGCTTCAACTTTTGAATCCTGCTAGACCATTTTAAATGTACTTGACATGGTGCATGAAGCCATTGAAACAATGCTTTAAACAAGGGTTAAGTTGATACATGTAAGGGGAGAAAAATCATGTTGTCATATTGCAGGTGGACAATTTAAATACCACACATGAAAGCTTTAAGCTGGAACTTGAAAACAGACACTCAGAAAAAGTAGAGGAGCTGAAAAAGGAGTATGAATCCTCTTTTTCAGGCAAGTATTTTTTATTTTAAGTATGTATGCTATAGTACTGCTAGTCACAAACAAAAGTATTCAAGTGTTTTGATCATTATATCCACTTCACTGTTCTTTGTGGCAAGCTATCTTTAAAAACATTGGCTGAATTCCTTCCCTTGGAACTGAAAAGTCTTATTTTACATACAGCAAAAACCATGATCTCATTGTATTTGAATGAAACCTTATAAACAGTTTGAGTGAAAGTGACTTTTTCTTGCAGTAAAAGACTGAATTGAATTGCCCTCAAAATCTCAAGTGACTGAATAATTCCTCCCAGCCCCTAGTTCTGCAAGGAGCACCTCAAAACTGAAAATGAGGATGAGTAGGGTTGTGTGCTTTCCATAACGACATGGATATGTTAAGAAATATTATACACTGTGTGCTGTACACTGTGGCAGAGGTGTTTTTCGGGGGGGGGGGGGGGGGGGGGTGTTTTTTTTTTTTTTTTTTTTTTTTTTTTTTTTTTTTTTTGGTGACGTGCTCAGGTTTAAATGATATTGCATCTCATTGATTTAAGGGATGATGATTTCCATACTCCTTCCAACTCCACTTGATAGCTAAATTTTCAGTGATACTTTTTTGTCTTGAAGACTGGTCATGCTTCTATTGCTTTCAAAGAGCAAACTCCTCTGCATGGCATCCATAGTAGGAAGAAAAACTTTTTTTAGAAGTTTGTGGAAGATACAATTTCAATTTTTCCTGTGTTTTCTTCCATAAACTCAACTTTTGTCAGATGTGACCTGTGCTTAGTAAGTCCATTTGTTGCATGCAGATGAATGCTCCCAAAACTGACAGGCTAATGAAATGCATATGTGAGGGGACAATCAGCAAATCTGAAGTGGGAATAAATCTGATACTTCATAAATGCTTTGCATAAGTTAATGATAAATGTTCTGTGTTGGCATCAACTGTATCTAAGCATATATTTGTAGGCTGGCTCTTCAGGCTGTTTCTTTTCAAAAAGAATTTTCACGTCTTATGTGGTATTAAAAATCTGCAAAAATAATTTGTTTTAGAGCTCAAGAGTACCCATGAATCTGAAAGGAAGTCGCTTGAAGATTCCTTTAAAGAGAAGCAGGAGTTGCTGGAGGTTTGTTAAGGGCATGGGTTCATTGCAACAGTTTAAAACTTGAAAAGCAGTTCGGAGTTGTGCACTGAATTCTTGGCCTAATGATACAATATATTTACATTTCAGAAAAAAATCGATGAACTAAAAAGTGAAAACAACTCTCTGAGTGAGAAGCTGAAATTAGAAGAACAAAAACAAATAGCCAAAGAAAAAGCCAATCTTGTAAGTCTTGATCTTTCCAAGTAATGTGGATGAACAGATCTTGCCTGGGTTTATTTTATTGCATAATGCAAAAAATTTGCAATGAAGCCTGATAGGGATCCCATACTTAGGAATTTTTTTTTGTAAATGGCTCATCAGCCCGAAGTTTTTTGCAAGCACATGATGATGTGTATTAACTTTGCCATTACAATTCTGTAAAGCTGTTGAGTATCTAAGTCAGGGGTGTAAATAACAGCCTAAGACAACTGAAGGCCCATGTGTGTACAGGAGCTGTACCATAGCATTTTTCTGGACAGTTGGTAACTGTTGTACCGGTGCTATGATCAGTGTGGGCTTGCATCACTACTGCAAAGCTCATTGCTAATGCATTTATTCCAACGCTGATTGTTACTTTTTGCTGATTTATCCTTCAGATAAACTCTTTATTTTGTCCTGCCTTTCCTCCCAAGGCTGCTGTCGCCTCTGGTGGTCCTGGGATAGAAATGTGTTCTGAGAGAGGGTTTTTTTATGCACCAGGTGGGGGGTGGGGTTAGACACAAATATGCTTATCTTTCTGGTTACCAGAAGTAAGTGGGATACCAGTAGTATTGTTTATTCCACAAAGAGAAATTCCGTGCTAGAAGACTCACTAAGGATGCCTCTAGTAGAAGTTGCCCTAGTTTTCACTGGAATTTGTTTTGTTTTGTTTTCTCTTATTAGTTATTCTAGTGGCAGGACAGAGCTGCCACAAAAAGAATCTGCAACCACAATATGTTGCTGTGGTAGCGAGAGTTGGGGCTTTAATTCCACAGGCACGCTCAGATGTTGCTTAAATTAAAGGCGCAATAGTCAAGTACCTTTACATAGCTGCAGATGTGCTTTCCTGGCAACATAAGATGCATGATAAGCTTGAGACTTAACTTTGGAAAAGCACCAGTTTGACTCAGCATACTCTTCTGTACTAAACACGGTGCTGCAGTACTGGAATTCCCAATAGCCCTTGAAGAGAGAGATGTATTTCCACCTCTCTGGTATCATTCAGATAGTGTCACTTGATATTCCCAGGTTTTTTGCTAAAAACTTATGTAGGCTTTTCAGTCTTTTAATTTGGCTGTGTGTTCTTCTCTGAGTAGCTAATGTGGGGGCTCAGACTTAACTTTGAAAACACATTTTAAGACCATTGGACTTAGGAGGCAAAGAAAATAAAGCGAATATTGAACATACTGTAACATTTAAACTTTTCAGGATTGCATTTTTGTTAGCTCCTAGATTCCATGTTAAAGTCACAAAATAGGAACAGATCATCTGCTGCCTTCACTGAGGAAGCACAACATGCTTCACCCTCGCACAGACTTCTCAAAAGAAGTTAAACAAGAACCACTACTGCAACAGGCCTTAAAAACAAGCAGGAGAATGAACTATGTAGGTGATGGAGCCCCTGTTACTTGTGACATGTCCTGGCTCTGCACTTCTGGGACCACACCCCACAAGACTGCAGGCATTGCCCTCCTGTCCCAGGTTTCTGGTGTGGCAGTGAAGCTGTTACTCAGTGTGGTGCACCTGTGTTCTTACACAAATGCACTAAAACAAGTTTTGTTTGATTTTGAAGATAAACTTAAATTACACAACATGCTTAATCATTGATTGAGTTCAGCTCAATGTTCCATTCTCACTACCTGGAAATGGACCCAGACTTGCTTTATTTTCCCTTTTTTTTGGCTGTGACTGCCTTGAAATGCAGAGAATGTGTTTTACTCTACAGCATTTGAATGGTTTCTTACTCTGGAAAACAGGTCCTTGAGGCAACCACATCTTAGCCTGCTCCAGCCTCCTCCTGCTCTCCCTTCCACCTCCCAGAAAACAATACAAAAAGGAAAAATAAAAAAGTCCTAACTTGCTATATTGTAGATAAGTTATGGATGTGCACCAGTGCAAGGTTTGTATGTATAATTGCATTTTCAGGCTTCAGAAGAATGTGAAGCTGAGAACTTTCAATTTCTGCTTATGAGCCAGCTACCTTCAGACTCAAACCAGGGAAGATAAGCTACAGTCAAGTTCAGAACTTAAACTTCTGGTGCTTTTTTGAACTGTTCCAGTGCCTGAAAACTCTTCAAATGTTTACTCTAATTATCTCTTGGGATGGGTTATGAGTAATATGAAATAAATTTTGGAACTCCTAGCCTTAAGGTCTTTGGGCACTCCTGCGAAACAAGTTTTGATGTGACAGCATTCATGCCTTCCTTTGATTCACAAGGGTTTTTCATGTCTGTGCATTAAGTGTTTTCTGAAAAACTTCTGATGAAGCAACTGTCCACCTACCCTGAAGGACAAACAAAAACCAAGGAGAAAGTGATATCAGATCTTGTTATTTATTCTAGTGTGTGACTTGATTTCACTTAGAACAAGTAACTCGTTAGCATAATTATTTCCTTGTTTTTTCTAAACAGCAGAGAAATATCTAAATTATTCCTGAAATTCAGGGTACTAAGCAAACACTCTGGCATTCTTTCAGAAAAACCCACAGATTATGTACCTGGAACAGGAGCTGGAAAGTTTGAAAGCAGTGCTGGAGATCAAGAATGAGAAGCTCCATCAGCAAGATATAAAGCTAATGAAGATGGAAAAGCTGGTGAGCATTCCTTGGGGTCTGCCAGGCTGGGGCTATGTTTCTGACTTGTGTTTTCTATAACAAACTTGAGCTGCATGGACTTAAATGCAAGAATTAATATTTTTTTTTTTAAAAGGAAACAGGAATTCATGATGGGACATGCTTACATTGCAGGTACAGCTTTGGGATATATGTCATGAGGCAAAAAGAACGACCCAATGCTCTAAATGACCTTTTAACATCTTAAAACAACTACTGGTTTGCATAAACTATTGGTATGTTAGTACAGATTATCTGGGAGCCTCTTCCCCTAAAGAACAAAATCCTTACCTGCTACATTGCGTAAGTGGTATGGAAGATAGATTGCAGTGTCTGGAAAGCATTCAGAAGGAAATGATCCTAATTTAACAAGAAGGGATCAAATATTAAATGGAGTAAGTCTTGATTAGCTTAGGCCCATCATTTTAGCTGTTAAGCTGCTTGTTTAGCTGTGTGACTGTCTTCCTGACCTGTGTGTAATTCCACATGAAAAGTCAGTTTCAGAGGCAGGACTTGTAATCAATTAGCATGCTCTTATTTGTGACAGGACAGGGTCCTTCTCCTGGGTGGGGCCTTTGAACACTGTTGTAATACTTGCTTAAGCAAGACTTTAATGAGGAAGTATAGAAGGAGGTTTGGATACAAAGGAACACATTGATGTCAGTTGTTCAGTGTTGTGCAGCACCATATGTTACCCTAGTCGACAATTACTAGCAGATTGCTAGCAAACCTTCATCTTTCCCAACAGACATTGGCCACAGTGTAAAAGGCCTTGGACCATGCAACCACTTAATCAGTTTTTCCTTTTATTTTTGATAACGTCCTCCAGCAGCGATGTGGACTCAGAAGAGCAATAGGAAAAGCTGTTTACTCAGGGGAACTCTTGAATTTGTTGTGTTATTTCTAGACAGTCTTCTGTCTAGAAAGGCGCTACAGTGTCTAAAAGTGCCCATCACTGGCAGAAATTACTGCAATGTGCTGATTAACAGTAGATCCCTTACCCAGTCCTCCTTGTTGGCATCTAATCAGCACAAGTGGGCAAGCACCACTTGTTATGCAAGGATAAGGTAAGTAGGATGTTTTTGTGTGTACTGTAACAAGCTCTGCAAACTCCAGATTGCCAACATCTCTGATAGCTCAGTCAGAATCTTGATGAGTGCAAGTATGGATTCTATTTCAAATTGTGACCTTTTTTCCAAGGTGGAGAACAACACAATCTTAATGGATAAATTAAAGAAGATTCAGCAAGAAAATGAAGAATTAAAAGCTCGGATGGACAAACACATGGAGCTTTCAAGGTGAAAAATATCTGTGGACATTTAGATGTCTTTAATCAGGGGGAAGGGGTTCCTGTGAGAAGAAAATTCTCCTTAAGTATTGGTGAATGCAATTTTTTAGTACTCTGTGAAAGAACACATCCATTTCTTCCCCACTTTTATCCCTACAAATGTGCATTCCTTTGTGCAGTTAACAAGCGGGAACATTTTGAAAGGGGATAAACGTTTAGTATGTTCTTCAGTACTCCAGTATTTTAGGGAAGAAAAAGCAATATCAGAAATACCATCATACAAAGATTGTCCTCTTTAAGTACTACTGGCTTGTAAGCTAGACTTAGGTCATACTTATAACCACTTCAGTGAGTGATTTGTCCCCAGTTTAGATTGGTGTGGTTTATTTAGCAGTAACATGAATATTTAACATCACTAAAACAGGTCTGAGCTCCTCCTAACGGTTGCTTAAATGGATGGCCAGACTCTTCCAGTGTGAAGGAATCTTTAGCTTCTGTGTTGAGCTGAGCCTGCAACAAGATCCAAAGGCTCCAGCACAGCCGTTAAAACACAAACATGTGTTGTTTTAAGACTCACTTTTCAGATGCTTTTTCTGGTCCTTAGGGATGTTTCTTACTGGGACTTCCTCCTGCTTTCTGCAAGCTACCAGTTCAAATATAGCTAGGATGAGAACATGCTCAGTCCTCCTATTAAAGCTGGAATTCAGTTGTGAGCCAAGCAAAGGCTTATGCACTTTCAGACCTTGCTTTAAGTTTTAATACTGCAGCCTCCAACTGGGTTATGTGTTCTGATGTAAATCTTCCATTTGCAGGCAACTTTCTACAGAGCAAGCTGTTTTACAGGAGTCACTAGAGAAAGAATCAAAAGTAAACAAACGCCTGTCAATGGAAAATGAGGAACTTTTGTGGAAGTTGCACAATGGTGATCTATGCAGCCCAAGAAAACTGTCTCCCAGTTCTTCATCTGTGCCTCTTCAGTCCCCACGAAATTCTGGTAACTTCTCTAGTCCTGCAGTGTCACCGAGATGACATCTCTTGAGAGAAAGAGAGGCCTGCATTTCACTTCTGATCTGCAGAACCTTTCCTAACCTGAATCACAGGAGCAAGAGCTATATTAGCCACCTATGACAACTAAACATAACTGGAAACTATGTGTTGCAAAAACAGCGATAGGAGACTGTGAATATGGGAGTAAGACATTCACTCCTCCCAAAAAGACTTATGACCTCTATGGACATCGTTGCACAAAGCACTTATAGAGCAAGAAAAGACTTGTTTGTTGCCTTTTCACCTAACCATAAGAAGAAGCTCAGGGGCTTAGAGATCACAACCTTTATAATATGTTCCTTATCACCGACACTTTTTTAAGGCTGTGTGTGTGCGTGTGCGTGTGCCGTGGATGGAGTGGGTGTAACACACTGTGCGTGTGTCTAATGCTGCCTTCTTTGCTGTGTACGTAATAAAGGATAAAAGCTGAAGACTATACATTGACATGTACTTCCTTGATACTGCTCTCAGTATGCATGCTTAACAGAGTACCCTTGCCTGGGAATGAGGAGGAACTACTGGTACTGTAGAATAATTTCCTTCATCATTCTGGCTGGTAAAAAAATGGCATGAAGACCTCTGTCAACTGACTCCTTAGTGTCTTGGCCAACCTGAGTATGCAACTTTGAATTAATTTTAAAAACAAATTGAATTGCAGCCATATTTTGCATGGGTTCTTGGTTTCACATCCATGCACAATTCTGCCATTTATGAGAACTTTTTTTGCAGGGTGCAATGGATTTTGGATTTCAAGTCAGTAGGGTTGTAGTCAGAACCACAGTAGCCCGCAAGGTGAGAAGTTCTTAGCCGAGTTGCAAGTTTAGAAGCCTTGACCTAGCTCTTACCTGCTGAAAAGGAAGCACTGATTTCCCCAAAATAGCACGTCTGTTCCTGAGGATAAACAAGATGTAGATTTGAAAGCCAAAGAGAAATGCAATAATTGTAACTAGGTGCATTCTTAATTCAGTTCTCAAGAAGATTAAGTAATTTGTGAATTCCAATATAACTGGTGACACACCTTGCCTTTTTAAGCATTAGCATTTGTATTAACTTTCCTCAGGGCTGGCTAAATTCACCTGAGGATGAGGTAGTATCTGTGTATTTTATCCTGCTAATTCTACCACACTTTCCCTCTTAGACTGCAGGATTATTGGTGTTTTGACAGTTCATCAGGTGAAAAATCCTGTTCAAGAGATTCTGTAGAGGGAAACATTTTCCTGGCTGCTGGAACTGGAGGATGAGGGTGTCAGCATTTCTGGAAATATCACATGCTGAGTTTCGGCTTCAACAGGGTAATTGGATAGCCTTGCTCCACCCTTGATCAGACCTGTTTAAGATGACTGCTCTGTACCCACTAAAACAGGTTCAGCTTCAGATTAGTCTTAGAAAATACTACTGACGATTACAGTAGCTTGGGCTTCACAGTAGGGCCACGACATTGTTACACTGCTGGTTAGCTAAAGCTGGTAGCTGGCTGAGTCTCCCTGGCTTTTTCAGTAGCTTGGGGACAGGAATCAAGGGCGTGGGAAAGCATTTAGGGAACTCAGCTGGAGAACCACTTCAAAGTATTTTACCTAAGACTTGCAAAATCTTGGCTAATAATGAGGAACACAGACATAGAAACAACAGTTAACAGTGCTCATACAGTAAGTAAATTTGTAATATATTTAAACTTGCGATTGACTGTTTCATCATTAAATTTACTTAAACCTCTCATAATGTGCAAGTTAAGGGTGCCATTTCTATGGAACATTATGCTTTATTTTAATCCTTTTTAGGGCCCTGTACATGCCACTTATTAGTGGTGTCAGTACTTAAAATATTTAATAGGAGGTTCAAATTTAACTATGAAAATCCTATGTTGGCTACAACTTGGCTTTAAGTATGTCTCAGAATATCCTTTATGAATATGACTTTCAATGGTCAAAGAGATTTGATTGCATGTATTTGAGCTGAATGCTTTACAATAAATATTTTGTACCGACTGAAGGATTTTTCTTCTGCTTATGTTAGTCAAAGGATCTTTAATCTAAGGAGGAACATTTTTCCACTTACTAAAAACTCTTGGTATCTGCTCAGCACAGCAAAACAGCAGTGGTGAAGCTTCATGGCACAGATTATTAGCGTTCAGCTTCTCCTTAGAAAATTTCCCTTTGTTCCTCCACTTGTAGGCAGAAGATATATGGAGCTTTCTTGTGATTCTCCAGAACATTCTGCGTGTGAGAAAAGCCCCAGGTAGAGGTTAGCAGTGTAACAGGTCCTGTCACAAGGACACTTACCTAACCACCTAAAGAACTTTATTACTTTAGTTGCAGTGTAATGCCTCAAATAAAACATGCGAGCAGAGTGCGCACAAATGTTTGAAGGTTGAATACGGCACAGCCCTTCCTATAGCAAGAGCAGGGAAAGCTTTTCCAGGCTACCATACAGAACAGTAAGTATGTATAGTAGACAATACAAAGACTGTTAATTTGTTGATCATTTACCTCCACAGTACAGGTGACTCTTCATGTCTAAACTGCTTGCAAGTAGACTCTTTAATGCTTTTTTGAAGAAATGAAGACTGCTTGTATGTAGAAATCAGATTACAGAAATAACTGTTTAGTGTTTGTCCTGTTGGTCTCAACGAATTAAATAATTCTGCTAATCTGTAAATACTGTTTCAATGTTTTTCTCTGTTTGAGTATTAGTATTTCAAGCTTTAACTGAAGTACCATGTGTTAGTAAAGACTTTGTTCAATCCAGTAACTTCTACATATTTTGGGCTTTTTTCTTTAGCATTAGGTTTCCTTCAGGAAAAGCTAGAAATCTGCTCATCATCATAAGCCAAAGGTCAAGCAATTGAACAAATTATTTTCTTCAGATATCCAACTTTACTCTCTGTTCCATGTCTAATGATAGGTTTCAGAGGAAGCTAAGGTGACATTTAACAGCTGTACCAGATAGTTTTTTGCCATTCAAACTATGCATAGTATGGTTCACCTTCAATGCTTTTCTCTAAAGGTCATTGTGTAAGTTGCACTGTATTTTTTATAAAAGTTGAGGTGAATCATTTCCTTGAGCTAACTAAAGACTTGATGTTTCTGATTACTAACACCAAAGACACTTCCATGTAAACTGGTGTAATGAAATTCCTTCTATACAGTAACCAACCACTGATCTTGTCTGACAGCCAGGAAATCATTTAGGGCTGAGCTGCAGCTAAAAAGATCATAAAGTTGGGATAACCACTGAACCCCGAAGAAAAAAATACCTTCTGACCACTGCTGCTGCCTTTCCTTAGAAGAGCAGTGACACAGGTATAGAAATAGAAATAACAGCACTGGCAGCTTTTGGCATGTAACTTTGACAAGTCACTTACATTTTATTTCCCAGGCTTCATTTTCTTCCCCTGTCACTGTTCATTTAGGTGACATGTGCAATTAACTGCATCAATGTAACATCAGCTCTGCCCAAGAGGCTTTTGGTAAAATAAAAACTGTGTAAAATACACAGTAAAAGAATTCTCATAGTTTTTCAATTACAATAATTATTTTCATGCTTGGTGGGAGGACAAGGACAGAAAGGAGGGACAGGATGTGACACCCACCAAAACTCTTCCTTAGAGGCACTGCTTCTGTCTCAGTCTTGAGGCCTGCATGTGATGGTTAGGCATAACCATTGCACCCTAGGGGAATACTCAAGCAATGGATTTACACCATCTTTCCTCTCCTGCCAAACTGTCATCAAGAAGTGATGCCTCCACTGAGCTGCTGAACAAAGGTGGGCAGGTGACATGATCTCCCACTTCCCAGATACTTTGAGAAGAAAATCAATTGTTGAATTACAGGCTCAAATGCACTTTGAAATTCAAAAAGCTGGCACAACTCCTTGAGTTCAAAGGAAAAGACATTGGTCTGAGGACTGAAAATGCTGAAAAGGAATTATCACATTGCACAGCCTCACCTAGAAGATCAATGAATGTTAAAGTTAATTTGGTCAGAATAAAAGCACCCACGCAATACAAGGACATTTTTTTCCTAAAAAATGGTCCAAAGATCTTTTTTAGGTATTACTATGAAATTGTATAACCTACTTAGTCTTTGGATTACAGTGTAATGTTCTTGATACATTTTAACAGATTAACCTTGCCTCTTACACCTTCAAAGTTAGTTCTACTGCATATTGTTTTAATTTTTTTTTTAGATACCTTATTTTCAGAGGCCAGAGATGAAAAAAGTTCCTGGGGAATGTTCTCCATGTAGCCTATCACATGAGACCTGCATGGACCCATTTCAGTCTTTACCACTGGTATTTCTCTTATCAGTTAAATTGGTTTAGGTTCCTGCATGCTGAAGAAAAAGCATTCAGCAAGGTTGTTTAATGTTTTCATTAGCTACACTACTAATCAGATCACTGACTTTAGTGGGAAGCTGCCATTTTTACATTAGCACTTAGAGCTGTCACTATTCCAAACAGTGCTGTACATCTGCTCGAAGGTCTGAATCAGCTGGAGCACAGGGCTACCTCAGGCCTTCAGCAGAGGAAAGTTTGAGGAATTCCAGTCAAACGCAGGCTGAAACAGAGGGAAGTGTGTGACCAAGGGACCAGTTCCTGCTTTGCTTCCTTGTGTGTTCAGAAAAAGCTGGTTTTCACTTGCCTTGTACGTAACATGGCTTGCATTAAATGGTTTTTGTCATTTCTCTACTAAGGAGTAGATTGTATTTAAAGTTCTAGCCCACATAAAGTTGGTGCTTGAGACTAAGAAAAAAACCCCAAACATTGCCAAAATGTCCAATAATGTTGTTATCAAGTTCTTACCTTCTCCTCTGGCAAGTTCTTTCTTTGTACTGTTAACTGAACCCAGGGTGAGAGAAGCAGTGGCTTATTTATCCAGGTATAGTTCTGTGTAAATGAAAATATCTTTCCTTTTCTCCTAAGTAAATTAATATAATGAAATTGAACTTGTTACTAACCTAAGAAGAAACTCTGCTGTAAAACTGAACATTATTCTAATGTTTGCTTTTTTGCTTTTTTTTTTCTGTTCTGTAAATGCTAATAAATAAATGCAAGTTTTACCTTTAGCAATCATAATTTGCTACGTAATTTACTAAACATAACATCAGACATCTAAAGAGTGAGCTATTAAGTAAGCTACATATTGTAAGGGCGTAGGAATGCAACAACATAAGGAAAATCGAGTATACCCAACTACTTACAAGTCTCTGGAGATACTAAATATATATTAAGGTCCTAGAGGGCATTAATCTTCACCAGGAGAGAAAATTTTGTGTTTGTCTTTACATACATATGAAAACGAGCACACACACATTTATGTTTTCATGATGTTCAGAAATTTAATTATTCTTGCAAAATAAACAACTGCTATTGGCTAACTTTGTTACAAGGCTTTTTTAGTTTGCTTTTTTGTTGTTGTTGTTTTAAACATGTACAGTACTCTTACTGTTAAAATTGCACGTTCCACACAGCGTGGACTTGACCTCATGCAAGAGTCTGAGGGAAAGACTATATGCAAAGGAAAGCCCAAAGAGCACCTGTTTCTAAATATGCACACACCCTAGGCATGTTCAGACTTACACTTTAATGCTTCATCGTAGTTTCATTAACTCACTACTGCTTGACAGGACACTCTCTTGTGGCCTGTCAAGCTCATCAACACGAAATGCATTGACATATAAAAGAAACAGTGAGAGAGAAGCTACATTTAAACATTAATAAAGAAAACTAATGGCTATAATGTCAAACAACGTACAGGTCAGTCCAAAACCAGAAGTCTTTTCTATCACTTCAGTTCAACTTTTGTAGCTACTGTTGTTTCTCCTTGTAGGTTCTGAGTTATACAAATATAGTTTCCCACATCTGTGTCTTCAAAATCCTCCACAAGAAGAACACTCTTTGAGAGTCTTGTAGTATGGCCAATTCCTCTGTTTATCAATCTCCAGAAGTTTTGAATAATCACAGGCCTCCCGGACTGTTAACAGAACAAAACAAAAACAACCCACCCACATAAAATAGGTGATTCCACAAAGTGTATTTAGTGACACCACCCCATCACATTGAAGCAAGAGGCTGGAGAGTACGAGCCTATATCCAAAAGTCAGCCCTAAGTGAGGGAACTGAAGGTGTCTGGCAGTGGCAGCAACATCCCTGCATTAAATATTGATGTACCAATAAGCTATGCCAAATAAGGATAATACAATGGCTCTTCCACTCCAAGCACAGGTACTGGAATTGGCAAAGCTCTGCTGGAGCCTGTGCATGAGCTCAGTTTTAGGCCACTTACTAAGGCTGCATTTGGGTACCTAATCAAATAGGTGAGGTGTCCTGGGGGAGGTGTCAAGATACATGCGTGAGCTCATTTTCAGACTTCAAGCATGTCGCAAAAAGAAGGCAGCAGTGGCATGAGGTAGCTGACTGAGCTTTCATTCTCTTTTAGCACAGTGAACAGCTGTATGTCACATGCTGAAAACTAATTCCTCCTATAGTTTTAGAAAACACTACATCAGATAACGTAGAAACAAACAGTAACAATTCTTAACTACTTCTGAGTTAACTGTCACATTCTGCTTTCCAAAATGTGTATGTAACTTCAATGCCAAAAATAGAAACCCCCAATGTTTACATCAAAAACTACTTTTTCGTGGGTTTGTTGTTGTTGTTTTGGTTTTTTTGTTTGGGTTTTTTTGGTTTTGTTTTGGTTTGGGGTTTTTTGGTTATTAAGTAAAAGGCACTTTTTAAAAAAAATTCTATAAGGGAGTTCTCTAATGGACTGGTTATGAGTTCACACTACCTGGCACCTCAGGAGGTCACAAAATACTGTATAAGAGAAATTGGCCCAATGATAGACTAAGGCAGTCTCTTTTCTTCCAAAATCCAGCAGCTGCTAGTCAGCACACTGGCTTCTGCTATACCAGTAACTGGGATGAAAATGCAAGAGAGAAGTTTCTGTGTGGAAACCATATTCCCTTGCCTCATGACATAGATGGATTAACCACTTACCAATATGAATGCTACAAGGCTTAAGCTAGATGTAGCAATAGGATAAGTTAGACACTTATGCAGAGTCAAAGCTACAATCTCACACTTGCAAAATGACCAGTACAAAGGCAGCTCTCAGTTTTCCTGAAACTTAGGGATGAGTCACAGTGCAGTCAGGGAATGCCTAGGAAGTGGCAGGCAGTACCAGCTATAGGAAAAAAACCCATAAAAATTCTTGGCAGTTGTAAATGTAATAGAAATTCTTAAATATTTAAAAGCAATGAAGCCACTTAGCAAAGCACTACCTCCTGTTCCAAGCCTGAAAATTAAGCGCTACCTACAACCAAGTAATACTGCACACTTAATTCAAGTCTAAGTTACTTCTTAAATATAGCAAGTGGAACATCCTTGACCCTACTGAACGTGAAGGTAAAGGCTGTGCAAAGTGGACTCTCTTTGCCTGGTTAGGCTCTTGCTAGTCCATTTTTCCTCAAACTAACTGCCTGCTTTGCAGCCTGTTGCATGGAATCAGATTAAGGGTGGATCTGTATGCATTCACAGCAGGTGAATGAGCAAATGCAATTGTCAGGGAGTGGCAAGGGGAAACAAGGAAGAAAACCACAACTGAGTGGAAAAAAAGAAAGAGAGGCTAGTGACTACAGAGATAAAAGGAGGGTCTCCACAATGCACCGTACCTAGGGACAAGCAGAGATTGATGTGCTGCTTCTGCTCAGGAATCGGGCAGTAGGTGCGAGCCCAGCTGCTGAGTGTTGTGGGCTGGGACAAAACCATTCCTGAGCTCCCAGCACTGAAAGCAGCAGCATGAATGGAAACACCCAGTGAATCTTAGAACAATATCAGCCCTTTTTTTTACATAAAAGGTCTATATGACCAGCATCACTGATGGTCTTGTCTCTTCTCCTCCCACCCCACCTTTTTTCTTTGCAATATATGAACGCTCTCAATAAATGTTAAGTTTCCAACAAGCATGCAGTGCTTCTACTCTGACATTTACTTGATCCTTTTGTTGGGGCAGAAACCCAAACACAACTCTCCCCTCCCTATCCCCAGGCACAGCTGGAGCTGAGATAGTTTACCCTAGTGGATAAGCACAGAGGCAGGCCACAGGCGAAAGCCTCTCTCACCCCCCCCCCGTAGGTGGGTGCAGTGGGAGGGTGTAGTCCTCTGTTGACAGCCCATGTGCCCTGCACTGCAGCTCTAGTATCCATAGCAAACAAGGGAGATAACCTGCATGCTTCAGCTGTTTATATCCAATCAGTGCTAGAGAGGTGTAAACATGCACATGCCAACATGCATCAGGTGCAGTAAAACCACTGGGAGCAGCTGGGCCAGTCACTGCCAGCAAACCAGGCTGGGGGCAGCCTGGGAAAGATGCAAAACTAGAGTGGATACTAACGAGACAGAGTTTTGGAAGGCCAAGCTGGGTCTAGAATGATTAAGAAATGAGCTCCTGCTGTAACAGGTGAGGGTGGTTACAGGGAAAAGAGAAGGGACCTTCAGTGATGCTAGTCAGATACATCTTATTTTGTGCAAGAAAAGATACCACAGATTCACATTGTGTTTCCTGTGGATTCTTTCAGATGAGGCTGGGCAGAAGCAGATTCTGCTTCAGGATATGGGCAACAAAAATTCTGTGCTGGAATAATTCATGCACCCAAGCCATGGAGAAAGAAGGGATATCAAATGCAGAGGCATCAGTGGGCCTTGTGGCTTCCCCTAGAGCAGCTTCCTGATGCTGGTTGGCTTTGACCCTGTCTGAGGCTGTCTTTGGAAATGCTACCAGAGGCCAAGCATCTCTGGAATGGAAATGTGATGGAGGAGTGAGCTTTGCTGAATTTGATTTTTACTAACAGGGCTCTCCAGCTTCATCCCTGCGTGACTTCTCAGGGAGATTCTCAGGGAAAGACAGGCTGAAGTTGAAAGAGGATATGCTGCCTCCTCCTGCCAGCATGCCTGAACTGGCAAGAGCGTTCAAAACGCTGCCTTTGTGAAGAACAAACCATTTCAGGCAGGGCATTCACCTCTTACCTCTTGCCCTGGATACTGCCACCTGAAGTTCACATCCACATCTGGCTCCCCAAGGACTGTGCAGATGACATGAACCCTATCACCAAGTCCGGCTCTACTGGATGACACCGCAATTGTGGTTGAGGGTGGGCCTTTGGGAACTGAGACAGTGTTTAGAAACAAAAAATTAGCTGCTGAAGTTAAATACACTGATCACATTGAGAGTCAGTTTTTGACTCACTTTGCTTAATGCAACAGGTGTCTTACACCTGGAACTTTCCCCTCTAAACTGGGAAATTTGCTGGAATTTAAACCTGATAAATGTTTTATCACATGTACTTTTGATCAAGGTTTTAAAACTCTCACTACACTACATATTTCACTTCTAAAAATTATTTTCCTAGCATCAGCAGAAGAGTCAATTTAAGCACAGAGAAAACTGCACTTTACCTTCCACATACAGTAGGTGATATTTGATGGAAATCTGAGGTGCTCCCTGTGACTCTGCTTTGCAGTAGACAATACCTTTATGATCAGAAGTAGGGTGCTGGAAGACAAAACCCTTCTTTGCATCATAAAAAATATAAGTTCCATCTGTTTCAATTTCTTCTGCTGGAAATTCCCTGTGAAGAGTCACTTTTGCTGAAGGAGTAGTAACACGGCATGGGATGACTGCAGGTTTATCTGGGTTCAGGTACACAATCTCAAAATAACTGGGAGTAGGTACAAAAAGCTCCTCTCTGTCTGTGCAGAAGAGTTGACATAATTACAGAAATAATTACATCTTGGTTTAACAGAAAGAGAAGTACATTTGACAAGAGAAAATAGCTGTGAGCAACGTTTAAAACAAAAAGCTTTGGCTTAATTTTAATATGCACACACACAAAAGAAAAAACAACATTGCTTGCATTAAAAAATAATTAAATTGAAAATAAAAATGAAGTATTTTTTTAATCTTAAGAAAATCTTTGGAATGTCCTTTAGTAAGCTTCCAAATACTTATCTGGATCCCATCTCCACTGGTAAGATAAGGACTACTAGAAAAATGTACTTTTTGAAGCTACAGATTTTTATACCTATGCTTTTAGCCAAAATGTTTGATTTACTGTCCTAACTAGAAGAAATATTTAGTGCCCTCAGAATCACAGTTAAGGAGTATTTTCATAATTAGCATGCTTCTTGGAAACCTAAATCTGAAATTCCTCTTTCTAGCACAAGCATTTACATAATAATTTGACTGAAAAGTTTATTCCAGCCTTTCTAAGGAATGTATCCTAAAAACATCAAGCTCTTCTTTCTCATGGTCCAATTTGCCTTCAAAATGTATTGCAAACCATCCTATCTTAACATTTTGTACTAAAATATTTTCTAGCCATGAATACTTTAGCTCTATGAGGCATCAAAGGTTATTTTATTATTCAGAATGGTTTCCAGAATAAAAACCAAACCACTTGATTTCAGCTCTGTTGTACCAAGCAGCAACAAACTGTGCACAGGCTCTAGGGGACATCTCATGCACTTGAAGAGTGTTTTGCCTCTCAACATGCTATAATGACTCAGAGAAACTGTGGCCTTATGGAGATTTTTAAGGCAGTGCAAGTAACTGGAATTAATTGGCAGTGGGGGAAGAGTCCATGGGGTCATCTGAATGCCATGACAAAATGAATCTTCTGCACAAATTTATTTTCTTTATTTAGATACATTTTCAAAAATTGAAACATTTTTATTAGTTTTGTAGAAAATCCTCAGAAAGTGTGTTATAAGGTATGTGCTTTTCATTGCATTTTCCATTACTTTGGGTATTTTGCATAATCTGAGGGAAAATGGACTCAAAAAATCACACTAAGCAAGTAATTTTCTGCCCACCAGCAGTCTTCATAAACATCCACTAAAAATATATGAAAACTGTGGCAGTAATCTTGACAATGAAATCACTGATGTAGCTTTATTCCTGTCCTACCAGCAAATATATTTCCATTAATAATCCCCCAGTGAGTTAATTACCTGTGAAAAAGATGTATGTTGATCCTGTTTTAGTCTCATCCTTCCTGCATTTGTTACCATTGCACAGCTGAAGCCAGCAGCTGTATTCACCTGTATCTGCAGCAGTGGAGTTTGCAAGGATCAGCTGACTGTACCTGTCAAGCTGCTTTATGCTGTGGAAAAACAAAAACGAAAGGCAAAGACAAGCACAGAGGAATTTCCTTGTCTATTTCTGTCAGCTCGTTTCCACTTTTGATTTTTTTATTCCTTCTCTGCAACTGATCACTTTTCACTTTCAGAGCTCTGTTGCAACTTCCTCTTTTGCTCTAGCAGAGACTGTTTACATGAGCAGTTTTATTGATTTTAACTACATACAAGAGCTTGCAAGACAAAAGTCTTGTACAGTTCATTTTTGCATTCCTTCAAGTCTCCATTTTGAAACTGGGCTGTGACTGTTCTAGACCATATGTTCATCTATGTTTTGTCCTAGTTTGTCCATGCACAGCCCTTTCCTTCATTCTACACGTCAACCCACATGCACCTCAGTCCCTTTTCAACACTGTAATGCTGCTTCAATAAAATCAAACAAAGATAACTGACAAGTAGTTAGTAGCAGGTATTCTACTGAGAGTTTGTTTAATAATTTCTGCCTGCTTTCAGCGTGAATGCTTTACCAATTTTTAACATACCAGTCCAAGTTTCCACTTGCAAAGAGCTGCTACCTCAGCTTGGATTTGTCCTGCAAATTAAGTCATTTTGCGTCACCTACTCCTGTGGTCTAAGTCACCTCACTGGAGTTTCCTCCATATCCCTTGGCTATTTTAGAGCATGACCCTGAGAACTGCTGGAGGTGTACTGGCAGTGCCATCATGTAACTACACAAAATTCAACCTGTGTGATTATTTCAGACTTGATTTGCTTTTTTTTTACCTTCTCCTGAATTTCCCAGGCACATCTCTCAGTGGGTTGACATTTGTAAATGTGCAAATATCTATAAATATGTAGACATATACATAGATACTGACAATTATTCTAAGAGGCAAAGGTCCTTATGAAATACAGTAACTAGAGTCTCATCTTGTTCTTTTTTTATATATTTTAAAGTTTACCTTCCTGGCTCTTTCTGGCAGACAGATGGTGGTGTGGATGACAGTCTACTGGGTTGACTTTTGATGGATTGCAAAAGCAATGGCCCAAAAGTACCAGTTCTCAGGGAATCCTGTCAGCACAGCCACGTGACAGCACTGATGCACTCTGCTGCTGCTCCAACCCTTAAAAATGTTCTTTTCAACCAGCTGCTTCTCATGGTAGTGGATCTAGGTCACAAAGGGTTCCCTCTTTCCTTTGCAAGACATTGAGTTACAAGGTAATTTCTTTCTAACCAAGTCAGGAATTTTTTTTTCCAAGTTAAGTATTTGATAATGAACTTCTTTTTACCGTTTTAAAAGGGATTTAGACAAACACAGTTTGCATGAAATGTGAACAGCTCTCACACTCATTTAACTGTGGATTTTTTGAATATTTATTACCCTCCTAATTCTTAATAACATGGCAGTTAGGCAGATACCCGACTGAAGAATTTCTTCCTGGGATTAGCTTCTTTGAAGAAATTTTTATCCTTTTTTAAGAGTTTTGCTTAACTGTCCATTGCAGGCAGAATAACTGCTTAAAAACAGAGGCCATGACTTCAGCTGCATGTGCTTCCCAGAAGTTCTGGCTCCCGAGGTGCTCTGCTAGCAGTCTGCACAATTAGCAGCAATCACAAGCAGAAGTTCACATGACCCAGTACTCAGCCTTCAGCCTGGCCAGCAGCTTGGAGACTAAAAGCACGCCAAATAGACACCTCAAACAGATAACTGGGAACTGCCTTTTCCACTAAGCCCTCAGACACCATTAGATCCACACCAACATAGACACACATGGATCCACCACAGGGCAGTGTTGAGGCCTGCCTCAATAAACAGGCAAATGACAATTCCTATCCACTAATGCACTTGTCCTACACAACCTTGTCTGATTCCATTTTTTAGAATCATGTAATTATGGTGCAGTAGTCTTCCCATTTTTAATATATACACTACCTTATATTATAAACTATCTTCAGTTTTTGGATAACTTTTGAGAGATTCCTATCTGTGCAAGAGAACATGCTGTGTATCACACCCAAAATGAAGAAAAGATAAACCCAAAACATGTCCTAGTCTGTGTTATTACTATTTAGTTCCACAGTTCACATTTCACAGGCTATATGACAACCTCAGAATAAAATGTTTTCCAAGGATCAAGTACTAAATGTCTACAATACAGAGAAACCTATGCCAGAACTCTTTTGCTTCCAATCATTAATGTAGACACTGAGCTATAGCTTGAAATCCCAACAGATAGCAAAATAAGGTCAGAGTTAATTAATTATTGTACAGTGTGTTCTTCTTAACTGTGAACAAGTTATTCAGTAATAACCTAGCAAGGTAGTCATCCACAAACATGCAATAACAAAACCTGGTATCTGAGAGTGTAATGTTGAAACTTGAGACATGACCATATTAAGCAGACAAAACAGGCCATATAAAATAAAGTATTAATGGCAAATCCTGCAGCTAACCAATATTTTCAGGGCAACTTATCATTTCATTAGTATTTAATTAGTATTTTAGATGCTGGGAAATCTGACCCAGAAGCCAAAACTTTCCGGTATTGTAGATGTCGCAAAATAAAAACGTTGTATATACAAACATTACCAGACTGTTTAAAGATACTAGAAACATAGCCCAAAATCTTATTCCATACATTCATCTTATTAAACTTTATATAAAGTTTAGATTTTTTTGCCAGAAAACTGTCACATTTAGAAGCTAAAATATATATTTATATAAATATATATATAAAGACAGTATACATAGCATCACTCAAAGAGCATCTACCAAATTCCTCTCAAGTAGCTGCATTCATACTGACAAAAGAGAGCTTATCTCAAATACACACTCACTAGAACAGGAACATAACATCTTGCTGTTTTACACAAGACAAAAATCCTTAGCTTTTAAACTTCAAAGCACAAGCAGCAAACTCAAATTCAGTTATACACACTTGCACAACTGACATCCCACTAAGCCTGTGGGATGCATTCACTGCACTCAGTGAAAGCAGTCTAATTTCAGTCTAATTCTGGCCCCCACCACACCCAGTTTCCTCAATGTTTGTGGGAGTGCTCCTGTCCAGACACCCTCCTCTCACACGAATGTACATGTGATGTATGTCCAGCTGTTTGCCCCAGCTTCTTTCATCTGAGCAGCTCCATTTTGTGTCAGTTTACTTATCAGACAGTCAAATGCAGCTGGTCTTCAGCAGGGGAGAACCAAGCTCTGACCAGGCAACTCAGAGACCGTGTGAAGTCAGAGTAGCTTTCTGCTATAAAGCTTTAGTAAAGGGAAAATCTGCCTGCCCTTATTTTTATCCCTCTCTTATGTTGTAGATCCAGTTTCTGGGTGAGCCTCCTGTCATTAATTTGTTATGCACAGTCTTACAAAACAGCATTCCAGCCCTTCTGTACTGGGTGTGCAAGACCAGCCTCCGACTGTTAACACCACCAATGTTTTTGGCCAGTTCAGCCAACACACAAAATTTTCAGACAAAAAGTATGCAAGTGCTGCACAAACCAAGGGAGCATTACAGGAGATAACAGGCTAGTTCTGAAGCAAGCTTGTGTGTGTCCTTAAGCTAGGAACCATGTTTGCATGATTCAAGCTTTCTCTCAGAGTTGCATGGCACACTACAGTCTCTAAGGCTAAGTAAATTGTTTCAGTGTGTACTGTTGTGTACTCCAGTTAGAGCAGTGGAAAGGCAGAATTTCTGCTCCACCTCAGCAAGAAGCAGCCAAAGAGTCCTTCTCCTCCTCTTCCTTTCACTCAGCATCTCTCACTCCCTCAGATATGGTAATTATAGCACATGTAACAGTTCCAGACACATTAAAAACCGAGACTCTCTAGTACAGCAAGTAACATATTTTATTTACCAGGTTGTAGAGTACGCCTACAAGGACAAATTCAATGAAAGCACAACCACTAATACTACAGAAATGGCTTTTCTAATGAAAATTTTCCTCTTTAGAAAAGGCATATTTTCCCCCCAGATTGCTGTATTCTCCTTACCATATGGGTGAGTTAAAAATGTGGTAAGCATAGCATGGAGGCAAAACATCTGGGTTTTATCCCTACTTCTTTTTGCAACCACCTAGAGAAAATACACGACATTGATGCTAAATTTAACTAGTTGCAAGCCAAAATACCAGAGTAGTTCAATTTGCACATACCTTCTATTATTTAAGGGAAAAGTAAGAATTAGACGCCTGAGCATCTGTTGCTATGAACAGAAGAACTGTAGCCAGCAACAGCAACTGCAGGGATCTCATCACCATTGTCTCTCCTCCTTTTCACTTTTCCTCTGGCACACCAACCCGTTCCTTCACTTTCTATTACCTCATTTTGGCCCCATCACGTCCTCCTGCTGCTGCCATCAATTCTGGTTTGCACCAGTGCCCTAAGTCCAGCAAGACCCACATGGAAATCTAAGGTAAAAAAGCCCAGCCCAGTTAATTCGCTTGGGTTTTGCCCCAAACCTCACTAACTGGTAGTGAGGGGATTATCTTATTCTTGGTCTTTAAGTACTTAAAAAATGTTAGAAGATGCTGGACATATATTTACCTAGATGACTGAACAATTTCTGCTGTAGAGTATTATTTGCTAGTAAGTTTTCTGAATTTTCCCCCTCTGCCCTATATTAATCATTTTGTTTTAAAATAATGAGGTAATGTATTAATAAATTTTTTTAAATTGCCTATTGCAGTTGATGCTTGGTGCATGGTGAGCATATTCCATGAGGAAGATTTAAGCTCCTCTTGAAAGGTCATAGCTTTGCTGACCATTTCTAGTACCACCTCACTTACAAATGCCACCAACTGAGCTAAGTAACATGCTACCTTTATGGTACTTCCAGTTAAAATCCATCAAATATTTCTGAAACCACAGAACACAAATTTCAAATTTCACATTCTATAGAGCAGACTTTGTTTCACAGGCACCTATTAGCACTACAGCAAAGACCTTGAGATAATTACCAAAGCCATGCTAAAAATGTGATGAAAATGTAACTGCACAGGATTCTGTGGTCAATGTCTCCATAAATTATTACTATTCTGTGACTCTTAAATCTGCTTCTAATCTATGTTTTCAATTTCTCTAGTTAATTTCAGGATCTTCTGCTTGCATTCAAAACTGATGATTTAGTCAAACAGCCTTACTGTTTAACAACTTGTTTCAAAAGCAATGACCATTATATTTCAATACAGGTCCTTAAGTATATGCCTTACATACTTCTAAAAGAAAATAAATACTTAGGCAAGTTGCATCCACCCAGTCAAAATGTTTTATAGCACTTTTTTATGTGGCATAAGTAACTTTTGTTATATGGTTAAATTACCACTGTTAACTTGAATGAGTACAGAAATGTAAATGGCTGAAGTAACAGGATCCCAAACTACTTCAAACTGGAAAACAGAAAATTACACTATCGTGACACTTATTTCTGTTTTCCCAAACCATCTCAATTTCCTGTATTTTGTCCCACATGCATCAATAGAGAACACTTAATTTTGCATGAGAGGAATAGACAGCCAAGTAACCAATAGACAGCAATAAGAAACATTCAGATTCCTCTCCAAAAACCCTTAATACTGCCCGGCCTTCTTCAATGCCAGATTCTGACACTCAGCATGGCCTGGAGGTCTACAGGACCAAACCACGCCAGCAACCTATTTGCAAATGCACAAAACATTAAGACAGACTTGAGAACAATGACCACCACCACATACACGCACGCTCCCTGCTGGTTTGCTCATCCAGCTCTGGCTTGCTGGGAGGCCAGGTCTGTACTGCAGCTAATAAACGCCACCTGCTGAAAGAAACCTGGAAAGAACGGTATTCCTTGCAAAAGAATAACCAGTAGCAGGTTAAAGAGGCCACTAGATCTTTTGACAGATATTGCTGTGATGAGCCCACAGCAGGATCCAGCTTGCTGCTGTAACTTACTGTGGCAGAAGCCTTGCACTCAGTCAGGGCAGTTCTTGGGCGCCTCAGCCAACACAGGACAAGCCAATAATGGCACAGAGAACTGGCTCAGGAATTACAGGAGGATGTGCTAGAGATCACAGTGGGTAACCTCCATTCATCAACAATCCCCTTAAGAAACAGAAGTGGAAAAAAGAATATATCTGAAAAAGTAATTAACTGGGAGTGATTTTAAGGAAACATCGCACCTGTAAATAATGAAGTAATAATGAACACTGGGATTCAGATAATCTGAGTTACTTAGACCATACACACTTGTACTTAATTTAGGAACAACAAGACAAGAGCAGCTGACATCTTGACTCATACCTCTATGCCCCTCTCACCCAATAATCCAAGAAAAGCTCCTAAAAACTCTTTCTTTGGGTATCACTCACAGTGCTTCATGGTCTCAATGAAACAGCCGGTGAAAACAAACACTTCTCAGAGCAATACAATGCCTGTGGAAGACATCCTTAAGCTCCTTATATGCCCCTCCTCTTTCTAATACAGAACTAAATTACTACATTTGATCTACATTTAGCTACATGTACTATCCTGAAAAACCAGGAGCACAATGTATGGAGAGTCTCAGAAAAGATGTTCAGAGCAACAGAACACTCAGATGGTGGGGCAGTCAGTTCCTCTTCCTGCTAACAAATCTTTGTGGTTTTCATTAAAATGTCAAAAGATGAAAGAAAAAGCTTTCCTCAACTTCAAGTAACAACCCTCCGCATTAAACTCTGATGCAACACAAGCCCTGCAATTTCATTTTGCATGCAAAAACAACTCTGAATGACTACTCTCACTTGCTCCTTAGCATGAAGGCTGGTGTATTTTTTGCTAGTTAAGAGATGTGGGTTTGAGTCTCTTCAGGAAATTAACCTTACTACCTCATGTGTTAGCCACATTAGCAACCAGTACAGTCCAACACGAGCAGGTCTCTGCAGAGCAACAGAGTTGGTAGCGAGCACCTGACATCCACACGCACATTTTGGGAGTTTTACTTTGGACCAGCCCTAACGTGGTTCCCTGTTTGTGGCTGGAGCACGATGGTGAACATCATCTCCATTTCAGATTCATCTGAAGGAAACAGAGTTCACATGCTATAGGACTATCCTATAGTAGTATAGTGCAGTATAGACTGCACATCACAAAGCAGTAACTGGTGATGACTAAAAGTTGCTCAGCCTTTTTGTGGACACTAAAAACTATTAAATAGAACATTGTGACTGTAAAAATGTAAATAAACAAACAAACAAAAACCAACAGTGGTGCTGAACACAGTAAGGGAAAAAAGTTCTGGATTTTTCCTGCAAAAAAATAAAAAATAGCTTACCTGAGTCTGGAGTCTTTAAAGGTGTCTAAATAAGAAGGATAGTTCCAAGTAACATTACTCCCCTTACATCGCAGCTCTATGCTTTGTCCTGCAGCCAGGCTTAAGGTGGCAGCTAGTTTCTGGAAATGACCTTTATCCATCACCTGTGTCAGTATGGACTGGGATTTCAAAGATGAATCCACAGACTCTCTCTCCTTCATTTTGGGATTCTTGGGTTTTACTTTCTTGTTAACAGGCTTAATTTTGTTTTCTCCAGGTTCTTTGGGACGCTTACTCTTCGCAGCCTGTCCAACAACTGGTAAAATAAAGAAAAGAAGACAATGTTACTGATTAGAAAAAGTTAATATAGTCTTTTGGGGAAAAAAAATTTTCTTTATTATCCCACAGAATAACTGAAATTTTGTTCTCCCCAGAAAAGATGCAGAGAACTTAGTAAGAGTTAATTTCCTTAAGTTTTCGAACTCTGCCATGACCCAGTTTCCTGGAAATGGGTAAAAAAAGAGAGCTTTCAAGAACATGTGGAAAATCTATACTTACATAAACAGAGAAATAGGCAAGGTATGAAAACTTTACAAATGGTAAGGGAAAGAAATACAGCAGCCACTTTTGTCATGTCCCCCTCCCGGTGCTGTCGTGCAGCACTCAACGCTACACAAGCTCTCCACGTTCGTGTCATGTTCATCACTCTGCATGACCTCTTCACACACCACACTTCCATAAGGAACACGTGAAGAACTCACAAGTGTAAACTTCATGACAATTTATAAAATACTAAAGGTGATGCAGGTTTCTTAGTTTACAGTAATTACTGAAATGCAAGTGATACTTCAGTCACTTGAAGGTGACTTACTTAAGCTGTCACTTCTCCATAAGAGCCATTTATTTTGACAGTCCAGATGAAGACAGAATCTTATTTAGAGACAAACAATATGATATTCCATTACCAACTAGAGACAACAGGGATGCCCAGTTGCCTTAACAAACAAAGGAAACAGAACGAAAAAGTGAGGCGTCTCAAATATTTAAAAATAAAAACAAACAAAAAATTCCAACTTTAACTGAAATCAGGAAGCACAGCCCTTTTGTGAGACAAGCCTAAAACTACTTTTGCCAGACCCCAGAAACACCACTAACTGCACCTGACAGCGAATTCTTGTTTTCCACATGGAAACACTGAGGTATTTCATTGTACAAATCAATCAATAGGCACCCTCTGGAATGAAAAACTCAGCATACTCATATACTCAACATAATTAAAACTGGTACGAACAGCAGGAATCCCAGATTCCTGCCACTGATGGCTCCTGTGACACTCCTCAAACCCCAGCTGGACACCTTGCACTGCATTAGTTTTGACTTCTCCAAATCCAGGCTGATGTACAACACATTTCTTTTAAACAACACAGCGCCTTGTGAGCACAAATTTTAAAACCAGGAGTTTGTAGCACTTTTTCCTTGCATTGCATTAGAAAGGCTACAGTAGGTCAAGCCAAAATTTATTTGCACTGACACCACCTAGTGTCAGATGCCAATCAGAGAAGAGGGCAACCATCTTTGTTCCTTTGATACTACTCTCCTAAGACTCCAAGACCCTTTAGCTCAAGGGGTCTGTGAACCACAGTTGCCGTCATTTTATTGTGTTTAGCTGTTTCTGGTTTGGGTGATTTTTTTTTTGTTGTTGTTGGGTTTTTTGTTTTTTGGTTTTTTTTTTTTTTTTTTTTGTGTTTTTTTATTATATTGTCCGTGAATGTTTTCCTTCATTGATTTGTCTGGTCAATTTTGAAAATTACACAAATTACACATAAATACCAGATGCCTTCTAGTTTTTGTATTAAGTACATAAATATCCATGTTTTTCCAACAACACTCTCTCCAACACATATATTTTTAGAAAACTTGAGGGTTTTTGACTCATTTTCTTTCCACACTGACAAGTCCTACTCCAATTATTCCTGTAAAGAATATGCATCTTACAACAGTTCCGTTTCACCACATTTGGGTGATGGCAAGAACACAAAAGCAGACTGTACACCAGGTTCAAGGTATGCTCAGATCTAGTTGTACATATTAACGGTGTCTTCTTTCCTGTCGAAGCAGCTCGTTAGTTTTCAAGATAGCAAAATTAGGAGCTGACTTTTTTTTAAAATAATCAAGTGTAATGCCAAGACCACTTTCCTAAGTAGGAACTATTGGTTAAAAATTAATATGTAGAAACCCATCAAGGCATACATGAAGTTAGAACAGTTTGTGCTATTCAGCATCCACCAACATGAAATCTGAAGTCCTATTTTCCCTGCCCAGTCTTTCAAAATTGAGAGATCATTCTGCAACTCTTTACCGACAGTTTTCTTTTCTTTTAACAGATACTTAAACATGCTGAAAAGCATGCGCCTTACAAGATCCCTGTTAAATTCAGCTGGTTAAAAGCAATTCTATCCACATGGCCAAAAGACTAATTCCTACTCTTTATTTCCTATTAGTGATTGTCCCATGAGAGGTCTTCCCTTGTCTCACAGCACGTTGGTTCCCAAGGAATTTTTTACAACAGGCTTAATAAAACCCTTTGGGAATCCAACTACATCAACCAACTCATCCATGGCCACACTCTTACAAAAAGTCCTCCGAGAACCTCAGCAGATCAGAAGAACAAAACTTCTAAAGGAAAAAAAAGGCAGTCATGCCAAAGCCATACTGACTTTTCAGCAATTCATGAGCTCAGTTTCAGTTTACAGAATACAGACGTCTGGCTTTACGCCTCTACCTCCCCCAGATATTGTAAAACACTGGGATATTCCATTTCACTGGAAAGGTATAGTTATATTGTATGATATAGTGATATGCAGTGATATCACAATCAATTCAGTTGGAAAAGACTTCTGAGATCATCGAGTCCAACCTTTGACCAAAACCCACAATGTCAATTAAGCCATGGCACTAAGTACCATCCAGTGTTTCCTTAAACACCTTCAGGAACAGTGTTCCACCATCTCCACTGGCAGTTCATCCCTATGTCTAATCACACCTACTGTGAACAAATTCCTCCTACTGTCCAACCCAAACCTCCCTTGGCCCAGCCTGAGGCTCTGTTCTCTCATCCTGTCACGTGCTGCCTGGGAGAACAAGCCAAACCCCACCTTGCTACCACCTTCTTTCAGGTAGTTGTAGACAGTGATAAAGTCATTACTGATGCTCCTTTTCTCCAGGCTAAGCAACCCCAGCTCCCTCAGCCACTCCTCACAGGACTTACCCTCTAGACCCTTCACCAGCTTCATTGCCCTTTTCTGGAAAAAGATAAGTTATGACAAGCTATGCAGCTGGGTTAAGGCTTCACCAATTTCAGGTTCAAATTTCTTTTACACCTCAGGTGTATATCATAAAATCTTGTCACTTAAACAGTTTCTGTTGCTAATTTTCTCTCCCACTGATTCTTTTGGCATGTTAATGAGATGTCTTAAAATGATTCTCCCCATTGAGAAAAATTTTATTTCAGAGTCTGCTCTTACAGTGTTTCACAGGATACTGCACTCTAAGTTTCTTCTTTGCTTATCATGTCACCATTTGCAATTAAAAACTCTCTAAGCACCTCCATAGTGAATATGGGTGTGCACAGATAAATTGTTAAATTTCACTTTCTTATCCCCCATTCCTACCCATCATAAAAATTCTGCAGCCATGTCTCCCTGCCCCATCACGGTACATCAGCAGAAGAAAAAGTATTTATGGCTGGTTTTATCATTTTGTAAGCCGTTTCTCAAACTCTTTTTGTCTGCTTTATTCTGGTTTTTATATTTAACCCACATGTGAGTTAAGGAGCCTCCTCCTCCTCTTATGTAATTCCCTTTTCCAAAATTAAACACATCAGTGGTTTCTTTGTCTTTTATTATTCCTGCAAGAATATCAGAACTACAGTCAGGCCGTTCCACAACAACATCTGAATCTAATTACTTGAGTACTGCTCCAGAGCAAGTCAAGAATTGCTGCTCTTCTGAGGGGCTCTCCGAATAGCAGCTCCAAGTCATTATTTCTGGCCATCTAAACAATTGCATTCTGCACCACACCTCGATGTGTGTGACCCAGCCCATGTGAGGGGAAGTTATTCTTCCTTTTGCTCTTCCATCCAGTCCTTGCTGCTCCTCTGACTTTCCTTAGCAGAGCAGTCTCTACACACTGGGTGGTCAGTTACCAGGTTGGTTCTTCTCCACAAGGCTGGTATTTCAGCCCTGATGACTTTTACCATCAAAACCCACCAGGAAACAGATTTAACAACACACACTGCCACTTCTCCCTCAGGTAAGCTATTCCATCTTAGTGGAATTCTATCATATTACTGTGCCCTAGTACTGGGAGGTTCCACTGACAGGCCTGATAAGCCTTTTGAATAAGCATTCCCATTCCAAATTGGCCATTCCAGTTCCTTGTTGAACTTTCCAGATTACTCTGTAGCAGCATACAAGCTTTGGTTCAGCCATCCTTTTTCTTTTTTTTTTTTTTTTTTCATCAAACCCTACTGAAATTTGTTCAAATTACTCTTTGACATTGCCACTACTTTTTGCCAACCTCGATCCTGACATTACTTCTAAGGCACATGAACCCTGCAACCCCACCCCTAGGAAATGCTTCATCCCATACTGTGTGCTCTGCCACACCTGAAACTCTGCCTTTAAGAAACTGTTAAAGACTTCCCTATGAAAGCTTTTCAATATTAAGTGCCAGAAGCCTGGTTTTGATTTTCTCAAGATTAAGTTCTTCCTCTCCACACAAGCTCCCTCTTGTTTCATGTTTCTGCAGTTCAGTGAGTCTGAACACTTTCCTCCTACACCACGCTCCCAGCTGCTCACTGAGAGCCTTGTCTGCCTGACCTTGTACTTCCCTGCTGGTGACAGCAGGGGCATTTCAGCTCATCATCACATGAGCTTTTACCTTCCTACACAGAAAACCTGGTTCTGCCTCTGTTGCACCTCCCAAAGAGGTGAGTTTCCAAGCAAGCTGTGGCCATGCTCCTTCCCAACACTCCCTTTTAAGTCTGTCCAGATGTCTACTGACCACTTCCAGCACCACTTCTGCACCTCACAATCCTGTCTTCTGTCTTAGCTGAAGTAAGTCTTATTATGCCAGGTAACAAAATTAACTGCTACAGTATCACCCAAGGTAAAGGGTGACAATCAAATCCCTCCAGGAACACAGAAACCATCACCAAGAATACTCCATTTCCATATCTAATCTGCAAAACTTTCCAAAGAAAAGGAACACAGTCAACCAGCCCATTTATGCAAGCACATGCCACGTTTGGGATATTTCACTGTCTCACTAGAGGTAAGCACTGAGCCCACACTGTTTTAATAACACTGCACTGCCTAATGTTGCACTGTTTTAGTGCAACAGCATTCCTTATTATATATCAAAATAGAATAAAATTAAGACTTAGAAAAATATTAATTAAGAAAATGCCTCATTTCTACCACTGATCAGCTCCTGAAGTCTGTTCTAAGAGGCACTGTACTAATTTCAGTGATAACAGTACATTTGGGGTCCCTAGTAACACATCATGCCAAAGGAGGAGACTATGCATCCATATGCCACAGAAATCTATCATGCAGCACTTTTGCTCATGGCTCACAGTATTAGTCTCACCCTATCCTTTAATGTCTGCCCCTTGTTCTCACAAATGTCACACACACAACAATATCAAAATGGGTGTTAGTTATATAATCCTAAAAAGCATTTCCTTTTTTTTGAAACATCACCTGTATCCACATGCAGATTCCACTGGTCTCACAGCTGCACAGGTTATAACTCAAGAAGGCCCCTGATCTTCAAGTGTCAGTCTAGAGAGCAGTGTGTGAGCCTGGTCTCCCACAAGGACAAAGGAGTCATGCTCACTGTCCACCAGACATACCCACTCCACAAGGCACACCCATGCTACATCTTGGCACCATCAGAGACTTACAACTCTCTCAATTTATACTGATTAATTCTTCCCTGAGGTGAAAATAAATTAAGTGTGAGGTTACCATAAATTTTAAAAAAATAAATTTTAAAATATAAATAAAAAATAAATTAAGTGTGAGATTACCATAAAGTACAATTAACCAGCAGGACTACTATGAGGAAAGAGTCTTTGTGATTACAAGTAATGTAACAGAACAAGCTGGACACATCTCATCATTTGTGATAGTTCAAATGAAAAGTTAATCATCCACACACAGTGCCAATCTGGAGGGGAATATTTCAGTAGTTCATAAATTAATGTAAGATAAATTAGGAAGACCATTTTGAAATTACAATTCCTACATTAGGACTTCTACATTTAGCTTCAGACAAGAAACTTATTAAACGTGCCTGGTTACCTTCTCCCATCGCTAAGCTTCTGTATGGCAGAGCAGGAAGCACCCAGTCACACCTCAGTATAAACATAAGAAACTGACAAGAACAGAGACTTGGGAAATCTTTCTGTAGCCAAAGTTACAACTCATTTCTTATTCTGTGTTTTTATTGTCTACTTCTCAAATAGAAGACTTTTCTTGATGTGGTATACCCACAGACCAGATCTTTCAACAGAAATCCTCTCCCACATCACTCTGATCCACAGTGCAATTCCTCTGCATGTAGTCGTGAGAGAAACTAGGCTGGAAAAGGCTTCTGGAAGTCCCTTCCCATCTCCATTCAGCTGCTCTGAGCCATGTCCAGTTGAGCTCTGACTTTCCCAGAGGCTGGAGACTCTACAGTCTCCTCTGACAAATTCTCTCTATGCTTATCAGCTCTTAAGGTGGAAAATTTTTTATGTTCTTATAAGGATTTTTTCCTTATAACCTACTAAAGTACTTGTGGTAACTGCTTCTGACTTTCACCACACACCTAAGAGCCTGCCTCCTATTTCTCTACAAACCCTTCCACAGGTTATGCAGGCCTTGATCCCCAAGCCCTTCCACAGTGAAAAGCAATGGAATTACTTTTTTGTTGTTTCTTCCAAATAAGTATTAATAAGTTCATTCACATTTTGCAAGAGGGAAAGAGCTCCCTTTTGTTAGTTAAAGTCTACATAAGTCAAAAATTAGTTACAAATGTCCCTTCCCTACCAAGACTTTCTCACAGCCTGAAGCGGCTGTGAGAAAAAAGTTATGAGAACTTTTCTCGTAATAACTCAAGTTATGAGTAAAGTTCGATGCCCTCAATCAAATAACGATGCAGAAAGCCAAAATTTTGTTGTTGTTGTTTTCTACATCCCAGCACCACGTCCAACGCTGTCCCACGTCCAGCACTGTCCCCTCCTCAGGCGCCACACGGGATCGGACGCGTTCTGCCCCAAAGAGAGGAGGCGGCAGGAGCAGCCCCAAAATCCAAGCCCACATTTTCGCCTGAAGGCTTCGGCGACCGGCTGGCCTCACACGACGCGACCAACCCGCCTTCCCTCCGCCTCTGCCCAGCGGGACGGGAGCCCTGCCGCCAGCCCCTCCCGTGATGGTTCCCGCTCCCGTCCCCGGGACGGTCTGGCCGGCGGGCACGGCTGGGAAAAGGGAAGCCGGCAGCGCCTCACAAAGCGGAGGGACCCGTCGGTCGGCGGCTCACCGTGTGGCAGCGCTTCCTGCAGCAGCAGCAGGCTGAGGAGCATCCAGAGCCGCATGGCGGGAGCGGCCCTGGCACGGCGGCGGCGGGGCGGGCGCGGCGTGAGGCGGCCCCAGGGCGCCTCGGCGGGGAGGGGCCGGGGCCGGGGCCGGGGCCGGGCCGCTCCCGCCGCCCGCCGCCCCCCGCCCTTCCTTGCTGCAGGCTCGGGGTGTGGAGCGGAGCTGCAGCCGCAGGACGTTCGGGGACACCCGGGGATGTCTGTTCTTGAAGCAGCTCCTCGGCGCCAGCTGCCCCTCGCCATACGAGGCTCTGCAGAGGTCCGGCTGGGGCCTGCAGCCGGGTGGGGCAGCGAGAGCCGCACGGGCTGTAGCGCAGCTGACCCCGGGGGCTGCGCGTATGGCACCGAACAGTGCTGGCCTAAGAGAGCAAAAGTATACTTTTGCGTCAAACTGTGGCACTCGTATCAGCCTGCCACACCGAAAGCTACCTCACTGTGGAACACAGGCGGTCTCTCTCTGGACACAGGTGAAGCACATTGAGACGGCGCAGCTCTCTCTCCCGTAGCAAAGAGTTGAAGGTGGTAAACTTGATGTCTGCCGCGTGTGTGTTTCTGCTCACAATGAGCTGTAAAAAGCCATTCCTTGAAATTTGAGGGTTTCCTTGTAGGAGAAGGAAGAAGAAAATGTAACTGGAGGGGTCACAAAGGTAGATGCAAGGCAAGATTGGACTTGAACGGGGGAAAAAGAATGGCTGTCAGAGATCAAAGGCACACCCTGCAGTAGACACAACCACAGTCCAATGTGAATAAACAAAAGTTGTGTCCCTGTCCACAGCTCCAGGGTCACAGCAGATAGCTGTGACCAGTCAAAGCTACTGGTTGCAATCCTTATGTGCCTTCCTAGGTGAAATTTCCCTTTTGCTTTCACACACAGGGTAGGTCAGTGATCTAATGGTGTCTGAGCTTCAAGTATTAGTGTATTATGGAAAATATGGTAATAGCACATGGAAATAACACTCAGACTGCATTAATTTTAAGACATATTTAAACTGACATATTCCTTTTACCTATGTGTACAATGTGTATGATGAAGAAAGTTATTTTATGAATTTTACTCTACAATGGGTAAGCATGAAAGACATTTTCATTTATAGCCATCAGAAAAGCTAATGTAAATCTTCATGTAAGGAACCCAGTCCTGCAGATGAGTAAACTGATAGATTAAAGTAATATTTTAAATGTGATTTGAATGTGACATGCTTGCAGAATGACTTGTCCTCATTTAAATCAGTGGCCCTATTCCACTGCTTCACAGGACCAAGATTTTCAAGACCAGTCTTAGTATATCTGTATGTACACTAAGGTGATTATTAATAATTTGAATACTATTATATGATTCCTTATAAAGAATATACCTCAGAAGAAATACTGTTATAACTACTTTTAAGTCTGTGAACAAAGATGTCTTTGAAAACAGTGCCAGATGATAATCTTGCTCTGTCAGTAGGGTTCTGTGTCCAGACCACTGTCATCCATTGCCTAGATACAGGCTTTTATTCTCTTGCTATACTCACAGTACTATTCAAAATTGATGGAGGTTTTGGGCTTGTTTGGGGTCCTTTTTGGGTTTTGGAAGGCTTTTTTTTTTTTTAGGATTGGAATTGGGGGGGGGGGGGGGGGGGGGGGGAGCGTTGTTAATGTTGTGGTTATTTGATTTGGTTTGGGGTTTTTTCTGCAAAAAGGGAACAAGGAGACAACAATGAGTTTATTTGTCCAACTCCGCGGTCAGAAAGTTGAGAGTGAAGCTGAGGGCCACTCGCCCCGTCTGGAAATCAAACCTAACATCATCTCTGGTTTGGCAGTGTAACACAAAATGCCCAAATCAAAGGCTGTTCTTCTCTGTTCCCTCTATACAGTGCATACAATTTTATCATGTTATTTATTTTAAATGTACTATGATTTGTGGAATGTCATGACATTAGATATCTGGCATACTCATGATGTTAAGTTACTGTATTATTTTAGTGTTAACTAAAACAATAGTAGTGGTTAAAGTTACAGGTGCTGTATGAAGGACATACAAGTGATATTCAACTTTATTTAAAAATATGGAACAAATGCACAATTGTTATCCCACAAAGCATGTGTTACAGTAAATGAGGAGCAATGTAATTTCCATTAAAATTTGGAACTAAGGTAACTAAAAATGTCACTGATAACAATTCTGTTGTAAAGTGAGGGGAAAGCACCATATTCTTAAATACAAGCAATTTTACATTCATAAAAATTCAAGACTTTTCATTCTGGTAGAGCACTTCAAAGAAATATAAATTTGTAGTTTAAATTGCATCATAATCATCCTATCTACACTTTGAATGCTCAGCAGCATACAATACAGAAATAATGACTAAAATGTACATACAAACAAAAAGAAAAGATAGATATGAATGCTAATTTTTATAAAATGATTCACACATAATTGTTTTTAAAGCTATGTAACACATATTTCATGCTTTACTTTCTGATACCACAAAAGAAAAAAACTCTCCTAAATATTGAAATCCTCATGTTCTGACTCCAGCTAAACTTGGTGAAGCTGGAGTTGACCTCGTACAAGGCTCATGAAAAGACAGAAAAACAACAGAATTTATCCAACTGACAATAAAAAAAATATATACATATACAGTTCTTTGTATTGCATGTCTGCATGTCTATGCACAGAAATCCTTCAACTCAGCTCATGCAAGGAGTTTGGTTTCTAAGATCAAACGGAAAATAGATCAGCACCGGGTAAAGGCATCGTATTTAGTTTTGAAAAGGTCCAACTATTAAAAATGCAGAGGTCCTCAAAACATACCAGAAAGAAATACTAAAGGTACAGGAAATTAAAAACAAACACCAAGATCCTATACTGTATGAAATACCACCCATTCTTTCTGTAAAATTTGTATTTGCTTAACACTGAGTAATCTCAGTGCTTTCAGTGAACATACTGCTACTCATACAGACTTCCCAGCGTGTCCAGGAAGAATTAGGGCCTAAGAGCATTAAAAAGGTGCTTTCATTTTTTTCTTTAAACACTCAAGTAAGACACACCAGACTTCTTGTGAATTGAATTCCTACTGTAAAAAAATGTGTCTCAGTGTCAAAGGCCTCATACCCAATTGCACAGTCCCACGCAGGTTTCCTGCACTGTCACCCCCTCAGGATGCTTATGGCACATTGATATTGGCACTTATTAAAAATTCTAGGAAAACATTACCTTATATTTCTTAAATATATCTCCTTTTTTCCCATAAATTTTAGGGGAAAGGTGACTAGACTTGTAAATTTATCATGTAATAAAATACAAAATATATATTTAAGCTTTACCAAGCTTTGCTTCTAAATTCATTGTATCATTCAAAGTTTCTGGATGACACAAGTCATGCTTAAGTAACTCTGTATCACTAGGACTGACATTTATTGCTGCTAGTTCTCCAACAGCAGGTAATAAAATTGGCTTTAACACTTGGCAACATAAGCACAATATGACAAATTTCAGGAATCTGACCAGCATTTGTTGTGCAGGAAAAAGCATACTATTATTAACAGAATAGTTTTATCCATGATAACAGACAATGAAATCTAAGTTACCGCATAAAAATCCCATTGCAGAATGAGGACTGGAATACCACAGGAAGACCACTTTAGTTAACATTAATTATTCAGAAATGTCTTATAACTCCTATACATCAGAACAAAAAGATTTATTCTGTTTTAAATATGCTTTGGCTTACTTTCTTAAACCAACTAGGGAAGAATAATTCCTTTATCTAATGGCATATCCTGAATGTACAAAAAAAAAACAAACCCCAAAAAAAAATCTTATAAGAACTTTTTTTTTCTGCAAAGGAAATAAAAACCCAATAAGTTACCTTCAAAAGTAGATATTTTGTATTAATATGTACCATTATTACCATACGTACCATTATTACACACAGAACAATTTACAATACCAACAACTATGTTAAAAAATAACAATTATTTAATTCCAATGGACTTGTGCTTTCAGCTGATCTTTCAGCAAGTGCAGAGATACAGCAAATGTGAGAAAAGGATCAGGATTTCTTGCATCCATTGCTTCTGTGTAAGGACTAGCAAGGCATGTCCTTTGCTTCTCCAGAGTCCCGCTAAAGCATCTGGAATTTTAACACTGCATATACAAATGCACATCAAATTTACCATAAATATCTTACTTCTGGCTTGTCTGTTTTCACTCAGCCACTGACTCATAATGACTATACACACGTATAAATAAGCTTTCTGCAGCTGAAGCAACTAAGAGTACCCAATGCCTTTCCTTTAATTTCATTTTCTATCTCATTAGTTATGTGGATAGTTCTGGTGCTGCAGCTCCTCCCATCTGTCTTAGCAACACATGTACAGGTGCATCCTAATATTTTAAAACAATTAATTTTGCTAACAAGTGGAGAGAAATATTCATACACGTGAAAGGGGAATTTGTCAATACACAAAGGGCTGACACATCCATCAGGTAAATAAGCTAGAAAATTTACTTCTTTTAGTTCTCTCCAGAGGCCTTAGCTAGCACTTGCTTTAGTCAGAAGCTAAGTGTATTGGCAGTATCCCTTGAAAGGAGAAGTCCAGTGCATTACAGAAATTATTTTAACCAGTACATCAAATTCGCATGGGCTAATTTCAGACAGATGCAAATGCATGGACAGGTGTGCACACATACATTCTCTAGGATGGCCTTGGGAGGAAATGGAGTCTTCCTAGCACAGCACAGAACAGCAGCAGTTTGTGCCCTGGGAGCCTGGCTGGCCTGCTCTATGGCATCAACAACCATAGCAAAAAGTAAGTCTGTGCTTCCCACATGCTGAGATGTGGAAGGAATTTTAAGAACTGTGTTTCACTGTAGGCCTGTAAAGACATCACGCAAAATCTTCACATGGGCGTGGCTGACTTGCTCCCACAGCAATGGCTTTTTTTGAAGCTGAGGATTTAAGACTACCAGGAAAGAAGTGATTTTAAGATTAAAAAGAGCAACTTATTTCTCTGAAAAAGGAGAGAGACAGAA